GAAAGAATAAAACCTCACAAGATATATACTAACTGGGGATATTAGGGGTATTAGGGAAAGAATAAAAGCTAACAAGATATATACTAGCTAGGGATAATAGGGGTATTAAGGAAAGAATAAAACCTAACAAGATATATACTTACTAGGGATAATAGGGGTATTAAGGAAAGAATAAAACATAACAAGTTATATACTAACTAGGGATAATAGGGGTAATAAGGAAAGAATGAAACCTAACAAGATATATACTAACTAGGAATAATAGGGGTAATAAGGAAAGAATGAAACCTAACAAGATATATACTAACTAGGGATAATAGGGGTATTAAGGAAAGAATGAAACCTAACAAGATATATACTAGCTAGGAATAATAGGGGTAATAAGGAAAGAATGAAACATAACAAGATATATACTTACTAGGGATAATAGGGGTATTAAGGAAAGAATGAAACCTAACAAGATATATACTAGCTAGGGATAATAGGGGTATTAAGGAAAGAATGAAACCTAACAAGATATATACTAGCTAGGGATAATAGGAGTATTAAGGAAAGAATAAAACATAACAAGATATATACTAACTAGGGATAATAGGGGTATTAAGGACAGAATGAAACCTAACAAGATATATACTAACTAGGGATAATAGGAGTATTAAGGAAAGAATAAAACATAACAAGTTATATACTAGCTAGGGATAATAGGAGTATTAAGGAAGAGTAAAACATAACAAGATATATACTAACTAGGGATAATAGGAGTATTAAGGAAAGAATAAAACATAACAAGATATATACTAGCTAGGGATAATAGGAGTATTAAGGAAAGAATAAAACATAACAAGGTATATACTAACTAGGGATAATAGGAGTATTAAGGAAAGAATAAAACATAACAAGATATATACTAACTAGGGATAATAGAGGTATTAAGGAAATAATAAAACCTAACAAGATATATACTAACTAGGGATAATAGGGGTATTAAGGAAATAATAAAACATAACAAGATATATACTAACTAGGAATAATAGGGGTATTAAGGAATGAATAAAACCTAACAAGATATATACTAACTAGGAATAATAGGAGTATTAAGGAAATAATAAAACATAACAAGATATATACTAACTAGGGATAATAGGGGTATTAAGGAATGAATAAAACCTAACAAGATATATTAACTAATAGGAGTATTAAGGAAATAATAAAACCTAACAAGGTATATACTAACTAGGAATAATAGGAGTATTAAGGAAATAATAAAACATAACAAGATATATACTAACTAGGAATAATAGGAGTATTAAGGAAATAATAAAACCTAACAAGGTTTATACTAACTAGGGATAATAGGAGTATTAAGGAAATAATAAAACCTAACAAGGTTTATACTAACTAGGGATAATAGGAGTATTAAGGAACATAAGAGATAAAAGACAATAACAAGAGTGAGTTAGTAACAAAGTGAAGTCATGATGAAGGTAATCATAGGTTACTAATCTGTAAACATGATATAAGGTAGTTCACCAGGCTCTTAATCTAAACCTTTTGAACTGCCAGGTTTAATATTGAAAATATTCTCATAAAATACTTGGTCCATAGGGGCTTTTGTTCTGGTGCAAAATTGCAAGGGGGCTTTTGTCTGTCCACCAAATATCATTATTGTAATAGATACCTATGTCCTCTTAGTTTCTTGAATGAGAGTAATCTCTAGTACCAGACAAACTACCAAAAAGATGAGTTATTTAAAGGCGCTCCTGATAATTTGTAGTGATCTAGTCTAAATCAATTAATTGAATTACCCACTTCAACATGGCGGTTTCCACGAGCTAGCTGCCTCGATCTCCCAAAGTGAGTAGACCATCAACAAAGAAGAAAGAAGTATAAATATGGCAAGTTTTCTCCTCTGCCACTTCATTGTTAGAGGTACCCCAATTGCTGTAGTGCGCCGGCCTGAAGGAATTGCAAAGAGGTTTTTTAGGATTAGAATGGTGCAAATGGAAGCACTAGACTAGAAATCCTCTTTCAAATGACTTTAACAATGATCACTAATTGTAAGGAATAAAACTGATCAATATAAATAAAAAAAATTCTTTATTCTGTTCAATTTAGGTGAGAAAATTTCTCATAATGTACTTATAATGATGAGTTAGTTAGCGTTTATACGGTTTTAAAATAATGGTATCAAAGTATGCCTGATTACCTCAACAACCTAATCAGTTATCGTTTATTCCCCTGGGTCTCTTTATTCATCAATATATTCCTCGTTTAGATATTGATAGCTTTCTATTCCATCATTGACAGCATCATTATTGTCTCTCAGTGATATTTATGCACTTACAGAGACTGAATAAGAACATAACGGAATATTGTTTTCAACTGTAAATTCAACCTATCAATTGCTTTTACACTGGAAATAAGCAGGCCTACTGATCTTATTGACATCATAGACCATTGTCAATAATGGTATGCACTTCCAGTGATGGAATATAAATATACTCGTATAAAGTGAAATATTTTGGCAACTTGACTCTTCCATTAATATTCCCACTTACTGATTGGACCTATCTCCATATAAAGTAGAACACAGAGGCCTTAAAACGATCAATCCCATGGAACATCTTTAATATCTCTGTCTACTTTACCTTAATTGAATTAGGCCCTAATTCTCGGTTTTTTATATCATTTCAACATAATAAAGATAACTTGTAGAGGCTATGATAAAAGTAATTATGTACAAGGTGGGAGACGCTAGTCTGATTTTGGAATTCACTTAATCTTTTTAAGCATAATTGCAGCTGATCACTGAAAAAGCGATCTCTCATCTGTCAAAACTTTTTATAATTTCAAGAAGGTGAGTTTTTGTAATAAATATTGAATTAAAATTGAAAATAAAGAGAACTTGGAAAGATTTATAACCTTGAAAGTGATATTTAAAAGACTAAAGTGGAATTGAAATCGACATGGTAAACACAAGATGTTTAATCTTTCAATCCTTTTCTAAATTCATTTAAATGGATTTTTCCAAATCTATCACTTCTGCTAACAACTGAGAGTAAAATCTCGATGAAATCAACAAAGTAATGATAAACTTGAGCTGTGGATGTCTATTTTAAAACTACTTCATTAAAGTCTGTACAGTATATCTGAATGTCAACTAGAAACCCATAAAATATTCCATTGATGTTGGAAATCAGGAATATTTTTTATGGGAATTTAAGAGCGTCTGAAATTTCTTTGAATAAAGGTTGATTCACAATTTAATCGATGGATCAAATTTGGTTATTTCCTTTTACCAGTTTTGTTGAAACACTAAATATGCAATTGGTATCATGAGCTGTATGGTTGTTGTACCAGTAATGTTTCTTTTTATGGCAGCAATTTTCTCATACAGAAATCTGTTAAAAAAAAAAAAATTGTGAAGCCCAGCACACTGAGCAAATTTTAGAAAAAAAGAAAAGTGATTGGATAATATCCAGCATGTTTGATTGAAAGATGACATGCTTTATCAGCTGGTCCAAAATCAATTATATTGACCTAGCCTTAAGGTCAGCCATATGAATTTCAGGTACTGATAATGTCATCACTTCAACACAGCAAACTTTACTTCCTCTGCAGAAGGCATCTGGAGGCACCCCAGACACAATTAAAAGTTGACAAATGTGCACTGACTACACATCCAGATTATTTGAAGTTGTAAAAAATCCTGTGGAATTCCATGACAAGAGCCAAACTGTAAACAAATATTGTCTTGATCTTAAAACAATTCTTTATGGCAACAATTACAATTTTGACAGAAAAGTTTTGGACAATATAATAGAACTTTTTCTGAATCTGTTAATAAGAATGGGTAAGATCTTTTCCTGCATATTCTATGTTTTCTCAAAACCCAATAGTTTCAAACTCCTTTACAATTACAGTAGTTATGTGCATTGAACCAGCTTACATAAAATCCATGTTATTTTTGAAATTTGTTTAATAATGGATGGAAACTTGACAGATAATATGATCATTTGATTAGGTTTATCTGACAGTTATCATTCTTTTGGGGGCATCAAGCCACTATTGGTCATCAGTCATAAAGATATTAGCCGTAACACTGATAGCAGAGCCTCAGTTAGTTTGGAATAGAGGTTATCTACCACAATATTAAGTACAAAAACATGTATTAGAGCTCCCTGGGTAAAATAAAAATTAGTGCAAAATATGCACTAGAATTGTCTTAGATTCTCCAATAATAAGTGCAAAGATATTTACTAAAGTTTCTTCAGTTCTCCAATAATAAGTACAGAGACATGTACTAGAGTTTCTTAAATTCTCCAGTAATAATTGCAAAGATATGTACCAGAGTTTCTTAGATTCTCCAATAATAAGTACTGAGACATGTACTAGAGTTTCTTAAATTCTCCAGTAATAAGTGCAAAGATATGTACCAGAGTTTCTTAGATTCTCCAATAATAAGTACAGAGACATGTACTAGAGTTTCTTAAATTCTCCAATAAAAAGTGCAAAGATATGTACTAAAGTTTCTTCGGTTCTCCAATAATAAGTACAGAGATATGTACTAGAGTTTCTCCGGTTCTCCAATAATAAGTACAGAGACATGTACTAGAGTTTCTTAAATTCTCCAGTAATAATTGCAAAGATATGTACCAGAGTTTCTTAGATTATAATAAGTACAGAGACATGTACTAGAGTTTCTTAAATTCTCCAGTAATAATTGCAAAGATATGTACCAGAGTTTCTTAGATTCTCCAATAATAAGTACAGAGACATGTACTAGAGTTTCTTAAATTCTCCAGTAATAATTGCAAAGATATGTACCAGAGTTTCTTAGATTCTCCAATAATAAGTACTGAGACATGTACTAGAGTTTCTTAAATTCTCCAGTAATAAGTGCAAAGATATGTACCAGAGTTTCTTAGATTCTCCAATAATAAGTACAGAGACATGTACTAGAGTTTCTTAAATTCTCCAATAAAAAGTGCAAAGATATGTACTAAAGTTTCTTCGGTTCTCCAATAATAAGTACAGAGAAATGTACTAGAGTTTCTTAGATTCTCCAATAATAAGTGCAAAGACATGTACTAGAGTTTCTTAAATTCTCCAGTAATAAGTGCAAAGACATGTGCTAGATTTTCTTATATTCTCCAGTTATAAGTGCAAAGACTTTTACTGGATAAGCCAAAAGCAAATGTCCTATGATTAAGTGGGTAAAATATTAGCAGTTGCTTTATTTAATTTATTTAATGCCTAGCATGCCCTAGTTGAAAGATTTTGTTTAAATTTAATTTTATTTTGGTTTGCAGACAGATTCTAGTGGTGATTTACAAATAGAACATGATTCAAATGAAACACAGTTTGTAAGTTGTTTCAGAACTAGAATGTTGTGTTCGCACAATAATGTTAAAGGATTGCACATTACATGTTTTTAGTACAGTTTTTCTGTTTTTCTTGCATGTTAACTATATCTTCACTTCTTTCTTTTATTTCTGCATAGTGGATTCTTTATACACTAACAAACTATTATAATATATATTTTATACTGAATAGAAGGCACTAAATGTATTTGATCTTATTTGTCCACTGTTGTCAGAATTGCACCAAACTCATTAAACTAGACAAAGGAAGAATGCAAGTGTTCTGAGGGAGTATATAATGTCATCTGCCTAAGTTTCTTGTGGACTATTTTCAGCAATAAGTCTTACAATAATTGTCTCTTCACATTATTCTTCTCAATAGTGCAAAAGTTTTTTAGAAATATGGTGCTTACATATAACTTCATAAAGTGTTAAAATTGAAGCATTTCATGTTCAATTTTACTTAATTTTGTAGAGACCAACATTTAATGGTGATATACAGAATAGACAACCACAGTATACAGGTAGAAAGGATTCCCTACAATATCAGGTAAGACCCAATAACAAATACCAAGCATGATGAAAATCCAACAGAGACAATCATCAGACTGGAAAGCAACTTTTTGTGGGCAGCATTTATCAGAATTTCCAATGCCATGATGTGCCTTTAGTGCACAAAAGTTGATGTATCAGCCTATAAAATATATTTTCACCACAGATCTGTTTTTTTTTTTTTTTTTTTTGTCTGGACACTCAATAGAGATAGTTCAAGTCTGATACCTGCCATTATTATGAAGCTCAAATCTTTAAGTTTGTAAAGGGTTGAAAAGGTGAAGATTGAAAAATAAACTTTGGTTGTGGACACCCTTGTCCAGATAGACTATCCAGTGCCAAAATTGATTGTACTTGTGCTCTAGAAATTTTTCTATTCATCAATAAGATTTTCAACCACTTGTTATCAAAGTGTTAATCAATAGTAAAATAAGATTTGTTTGAAAACAGTTGATATGGCTAGTCACATCCTTCAATTTATTGAAATTTCACTAACAATTTCCCCTTCTGTTGATCGTTCACTTCTAAATCTCTCTCATCTTCCTGCTGGCATTAAGTTAAAAATCAATAGGTTTACCGTAATCCTGAATAAATCAACATTACTTGTCATCACAATCTGACTTCTACATCCAATATGTCCGTTTATTGATAGAGAGCTTAAAATTGAGGCCAATTTATATTTCTCATAATTCTTATTCAATCTCTGGATTATTTGGTGTGGAAAATTTTTAGGGAGTTGTTTCTCAGAAAGGGACTTTCAGAAGGGTTGTTTGATTGGTCATTAAATACCTCTTAACTTGTTTAGTAGTAGGGCAATTCCACAGTAGTTTTTTAAAGATTTGCAGTTTAGTTGAAAAAGTAACAAAGCCTGATTGCTCAGTAGGGGAAACATCATGAGGGTAGTTGCATGGCTGTTGGTAACGTGGGGTAGTGATTAGTTTTACAATGGTTTTCTGATTTTCTCACCCGATAAACATCACAATTGTCTACTTTATGTAGTAAATCAGTGAAAATCCATTGAAATTTTTCATGCATGGTGTATTGCAAGACAATTCAGTTAATCAAAATCTGTTTCAAATCATGGCAAAATGGAGAGATAAAATTGTATAGTAGTGGACTTTTCCAAAAAGAAATACCATCAGGTGAATCTTAAGGAGGTGTTGTTTGATTGATATTTTTTTCTATGTATGTCAATGAGAGATTTATTTTTGTCTAGAAGTTATTATGTTAACTTATTGCTTTCGTACAGTGATAATTTATTTGGGTCAAGCTGTCCTATAGGAGGTATTAGCTCCTTTTCTCCCGGCTCATTAAAGAACAGAGAGGCATTGAGGTCTGCTAGACCTGCTATAACCTGTCTGACATAAGTAAATCTTCATTTTCCAATTGACAATCTCAGAATGAGCTATTCATTGATGAATTCATTTACAAATTGATAGTCAAGTCTGAATTTGAAAAGAAATCTTGATTTTCAATACCCAGGTTTAATTTTATTGGGTAATGAAATTATTTAATTTGAACTATAGAATACGGCTGTTGATTTGTCAGACATGGAGGCAAGCCAACCAAGTCATCTCCATAAAAGGCTCTGTCAAGACATACCATTTAGTTTGGAAATCTACTGTTGGTTCAAAGTGAATAATGAAGATTTAAAGAATTTTTTGTGGGAAAAACTTGTTAAAAGATTTCAATCTTGACAATGATTAACGTTTCTCAAAAATTGTAAAAAAAAAAGTTGTGTAGATTGTTTGTAAAGTTGGAATCTATCTCGTCTCCTTGAAAAATAAAATTTGACCTTGGTATTTCCTTGAAAATGTTTATCATTTCAACAGCTGTGAGTAATAGAGGAAAAACATATCTTTGATTTTCCCACATGAGATGAAGTAATTTGTCTGCCGAGTTATAACAGTATTTAGGACTATTCTATATACTGTCAATGATGGATGTATTGTACTGATATCAATATGTTTCTAAGTCTAGTCTATATTCATCTAGATTTAAATACTGGTATTTGATACTGGGATGATACGAATCACTGTAATTCATACTAAATACTCTATTCTTTAACCAGACTTGACTTGACACAATTCTAAATGGCAAAGTCTCTTGTGATTTATCATTTTAGGGTATGTTTTAGAATTTTATAAAAGAATTTGTAAGAGGTTTTTTATCCTTTCTGTTAAGTATTGGAAACACGTTTCACTTCTCTACAGAAAACCTTCTTTAAGTCCCTTTAAGATATTTGCATTGCATTGATACTAGTGGTGTTTCTATGAATCATAAGGTGAGGAGGGTGGAGGAGTGGCAACAGAATTGTCAAGTGGGGCAAGTTAACAAGGTATTTTAGTGCTCAATCCCGTAAAAACGCCACTGGCTGATTCTTGAAATGGTTAAAGGGAATCAAGATGATAATATTACATGTTACATGCTGACAAACCAAGCCACAGAGAGGAATCATGTGTTCTAAAAGAGTGAGATCTTTAGGGACATCCAATTCTGAATTCTGCTCAGGAGCTTTAAACCAGGTGGAAGTTTTCCTCTGGATAGTATATAGATTCACTACTAATGGATTTTTAAGACATGAACTAACAAAATTATAGTATTTTATCAAATTTAAAATATCACTGTCTGTGAATCAGTCAGCCATATCAATTAGCAACCATCCTTAAAATATTATTCTCACTCAAGTTAAAACCTAACCTAGGAATGTCTTGGTGGAAATAAACTAATGATATTATAGGAATCCATGTTGACAATAGACAATCACAACAATCTTAATATCTGCTGTGATTTGAATTTAGAATGGTTGTAACATGGAAGTGGCAGTGATTTGTCAATTTTTTCCAGTGGGATTAGTTTATCATGTTTTAGTATTATTTAGTATTGTAAAATAATATCTTATTTGGGCTAAGATTTGCCTACCGGTAGATATGAAAAGCCCAAGATACTGATATGTACATTTAGTAAGAGATTGACCAAGTGGACATTATTTCGTTTGAGGCAACAAAAGGCTCATCAGACATAACAAAATCTGAGTATTCAGTAGACCAAACATTATATAATTTGAATTGAATATTTTAAAAAGGTTAAATGAAAGTATTTCTATATGGAAAATGAAGAATATATCTTTCCTAGGAGCACCTTCACATGATAACTTTCCTATAAATAAATAGAAAATAAGTGTCATATTTTAAGAGAGAAAAGCAGACAACCAATTATTTAGATAAGCTGCGGTGAAATTTGTCTAGGTGGAATTGAAACTCTATCAGGACTCCATTTATGCAGTGTTTATTTTGGCTGATGAAGTGAAATATTTATAGCTATGGAGACCAGACAGATCAGGTTTAGTCCATGATTAAAGATGGACTACAGAACCTAACAAAGATTTAATGTTTTACAAAGGAAATGAAGAAAAAACATATTTCTGAAGGATATAATATTCAGCAGATCTTTTCCACCATCTTTTTATACGCCCACACGTAAGATGGGCGTATATTGTAATCACCCCGTCGGTTCACATTTGGCTCGTGCTCACTCTACAGGCTACAGTTCTTTATGGATTCTTTTGATTTTTATTTTGTGTGTCAATGTCATTATGAAGATGATCCCTATTGATTTTCGTGATGATCGGATAATTTTTCACCGAAACATCGTGTCTGACTTGACGTTTTTCTCTATTAGCTATATTGTGCAACTCGTGCTCACTCTACAGGCTACAATTTTTTACAGATTCTTTTGATTTTTATTTTGTGTGTCAATGTCATTATGAAGATGATCCCTATTGATTTTCGTGATGATCGGATAATTTTTCACCGAAACATCGTGTCTGACTTGACGTTTTTCTCTATTAGCTATATTGTGCAACTCGTGCTCACTCTACAGGCTACAATTTTTTACAGATTCTTTTGATTTTTATTTTGTGTGTCAATGTCATTATGAAGATGATCCCTATTGATTTTCGTGATGATCGGATAATTTTTCACCGAAATATCGTGTCTGACTTGACGTTTTTCTCTATTAGCTATATTGTGCAACTCGTGCTCACTCTACAGGCTACAATTTTTTACAGATTCTTTTGATTTTTATTTTGTGTGTCAATGTCATTATGAAGATGATCCCTATTGATTTTCGTGATGATCGGATAATTTTTCACCGAAATATCGTGTCTGACTTGACGTTTTTCTCTATTAGCTATATTGTGCAACTCGTGCTCACTCTACAGGCTACAATTTTTTACAGATTCTTTTGATTTTTATTTTGTGTGTCAATGTCATTATGAAGATGATCCCTATTTATTTTAGTGATGATCGGATAATTTTTCACCGAAATATCGTGTCTGACTTGACGTTTTTCTCTATTAGCTATATTGTGCAACTCGTGCTCACTCTACAGGCTACAATTTTTTACAGATTCTTTTGATTTTTATTTTGTATGTCAATGTCATTATGAAGATGATCCCTATTGATTTTCGTGATGATCGGATAATTTTTCACCGAAATATCGTGTCTGACCTGACGTTTTACTCTATTAGCTATATTGTGCAACTCGTGCTCACTCTACAGGCCACAATTCTTTGCAGATTCTTTTGATTTTTATTTTGTATGTCAATGTCATTATGAAGATGATCCCTATCGATTTTCGCGATGATCGGAAAATATTTCACCGAAATATCGTGTCTGACTTGACGTTTCACTCTATTAGCTATATTGTGCAACCCTGTAGTCACTAAAGACTGTTTAATCATTTCTGACTGCTGCCAGTGGGCGTATGTTACCTTGCCTGGCAAGCTATCTTTTATTTTGAAAATAACTTTTACCTATACAGGAAAATGGAACTTGTTGACTCTTAGTGGCCTAAAGAACTCAAGAAACCCAATTTCTAGACTTTTCGAAATTTCCAAAACCCAAAGTTATCTACAGCCACCTGGAAAAATATAGACTAATTGAGTTGATAACCACTTAAATTTCCTAAAAGTGAATCTTAAATCTTAAGTTGGTGACTTCATTCTAGAGCTTTGAATTAATCATAGCCAGTCTGGTTAAAAGAAGATTTTTGTCTCTGATTAACCAGACACTATATTATTGAAAAACATTTAGGCATAATAAAGTTAATGTGTAATTTAGTCTCCAAGTTGTATCTAGGTCTATCGAGATCTATCAATAGGTAAACAGTACCATATTACCACACATTCACTTCTTCACTGTTTTCTTAAACAGATTTTGAAAATATCATTTTAAACTAAGTTTTATACAGCATTGTCTTCAGTCCTTCAGACTTTATTTCATTCCTGTCTGTCCTGTCTCAGAAGGGCCAACAAGGGTGACTGCTTCCAAAGAGAGAATTGATGTCTTAAATGTACTATTATTAATCTTGAGCATCAAATGGTACTCTGCCATATTTGAATGAAATCAATTGGACCACATATATATTTGCCAAATCTATAGAGAGATTATTTCCAGTAATTCTCTTCTAGAAAATTCATTGGAATACAACTTAGTTTTCAATTGTATGTAGAATAACAGAGGAACCCTCCTGAAATAAATTTGATACGATAATGGTAATAGATACGTGCTATTTACTAAATCAAGGCTTTTAAGAGGATTAGTACTGATCACTTTAATCACTGATTGATAGATTAGCTATCTCTTTCACGGCCGATCAATATATTTTAGCAGAATCAGACTATGGTTTGAATAAATGAAAACAGTCTTCTGTTTAAATACTCACCAACCCGTAATCAAATAAATCACCAGTAACAAGCCTAAAAAGGAATGTAGAGAGGTTTTCTTAAAATTTTATGTATATCAGGGACACCGATAGCATCAATTTGCACCGTTCCAATTTACAATCAGAAGTCTGTGGTTCCTTCAACTCTACTTAAAAATAATTAGGTATTCATTGTATCGTATTTGACAGGATGTAATAATTAGGTATCTAACTGTATTGTATTTAACAGGATGTAATGATTAGGTATCTTACTGTATTGTATTTGACAGGATGTAATAATTTAGTGTCTATTTGTACTGTATTTGAAAAGATGTAATAATTAGGTATCTAACTGTGTTGTATTTGACAGGATGTAATAATTAGGTATCTAACTGTATTGTATTTGACAGGATGTAATAATTTAGTATCTATTTGTACTTTATTTGACAGGATTTAATAATTTAGTATCTATTTGTATTGTATTTGACAGGATGTAATAATTAGGTATCTATTTGTACTGTATTTGACAGGATGTAATAATTAGGTATCTAACTGTATTGTATTTGACAGGATGTAATGATTTAGTATCTATTTGTACTTTATTTGACAAAAGGATGTAATAATTTAGTATCTATTTGTTTTGTATTTGACAGGATGTAATGAGGAGATTAGTCAGTAGATTGATACATCAATATAAAAAACAAGCCAGACAAGATGGAGTTAATGAAGATGATTTATTAGAAATTAAACAAGATATTTCTAGTCTCAGGTAACTCTTATTTCTTCAAAAAATAAAATTTTTAAATTATGCGTTTTGTTTAGAGTATTTTCCATGCTCTAAAAGGTGATGATTCAATTAAACACAGTTGACCATTCTACACTGCTTTCTATTTCTGTTTTACCCTAGACTTTTCTAATTCCATCAAATTATACTTATATATTCAAGTTTTCATGATTGACAAATACCAAAATTACTCAGCTAGGCTGGTTGGTCATGAAACAAATTGACAAACATACATGCTTTTGAATCCATGAAGTTATTATTGAACACTTTATATCTTTCACTGAGGATTACTTTTATATTTCAGGTATGAATTGAGAGAAGATCGGAAGAAAGAACATGCTTTATTGACAGGAAATATGGATTCTTTGAGGAAAGACCCGTTTGGTTCCTTTCAGTTTATATCTCCAGGAGCCAGTCCAAGAATACCACACAGTAGATCTAGTCCAAACACCAGTTCCAAATATTGTGGACAATTTTCAAAACATGAACTGGACTATCTAAAACATGAAATTGTTAAAAGTATGAAGTCTGAATTACGTGAAACTGTTTATGGTTGTTTTTCAAATTTTACCAATCAGCAAGCCATGTCTAATCTGGGACCTCTAGATTCCGAGCTCTACCAGACACATCTTTATACATCTCTTTGACGTCTGATCTCATAGTTTAGTTTCTCACTTGTTCAACCTTTATGGTTCTAGGAATGGCCTTGTCCATTTATAGTTTCTCTTTTGAGATGGTGTGCTGAGATGGCAGAAAACAGCAGTGTGTAATGGCATAGTGATCAAGGAAAGCTGAAAGAAATGTGTTGTTATTTGATGCATTATGCATGTTAAGGTTTTTGTTGGATTTAAATGATTAAAAAGACACACTCTGCTATTTTGTATGTAATGACATATTTACATTCTGTTGTATACTAAAAAAGATATTTATCATTTGATATGATCCCTGGTCAGAATTTGTGGGATAATTCTCCTAATTTATTTCAATATGTTATAAATTATATCTTTGAGCCTCAATAACCTAACATAAAACATTTGTTATTTTCCATTGAAATTAAGTATAAAAACATTCCATTTGCTTAAAATAAAATTGGCTAACACATATTTCACTAAAATCCACATAATTTCGATTTGGATTTTGTTAATCAATGCCAGTGGATTTGCCTGTCCCTTTTATCTTTATAAATTTGAATTCAAATGGATTATTAAGAGTGATTTTGAAACCAATAAGGTTAAATCTTTGTGTTTATGATGTTGTTCCCAAATAAGATGGTCATAAAATGAAATTGAAATCAACATATCATTTGAGAGTAAAGTTTGGTGCAATTTTAAATTCCATCAGTAGTGGAGAAACTACATTTGTTGTAAATATTAATTCATTATACATTCCATAGTATGTTATATCTTATATTTATTATGTCTTGACTTCTTATTTATTGTTCTATCTATTGAATAGCCGCCTACTTGAATTTTGCCATTTCAAATTTTTCAAAATGGATTTTTCAAATTGAATTTGCTGTGGCTTCGAATGTTTTCTAGTCAAGGAAAAGAAATATTTTTGAATAAGTACACTCTTTTACTGGTACCACCATAAATCTGCATTTTAAATCACCAAGCTTTAATTTTGTAAACAAAAAGACTTGCAGGACAAAAAAATCTATATAAATAATAATGTTTGAGTTCAAATATCCCAAAACTTGATCAGAGTCAATTATAATGTTTTATTTGTTTGAAATATTTTGTATTATCCATGGGAATAATTCACACTCATTTTTTTGTACATTTTACAATTTATTTTTTAAAAAAATTTTTTTTTGTGGAGTGAAGTTCATTCTTACATAAAATTTTATGTAAGGTTTGATTAATGACAGAAAACTTGTCTACTTTTTGATTTTTTTTTTTAGTCAAATCCTTTGGATGATTTTTAAGATAGATTTTAACAGATACTACTATATTTGTAAAACCTTTTTATCATTATATTATTATTTCAACCATGTTACTCTGTTTTCAAATAAAATACTATTTTGAGTAATTTAGGACAAAAATAATTTCAAAGCACTTTGCATTTGGTCATGGTAAAACTTCATAAATAGAATTATGCACGAAAGGATAAATTAAAATTCTTGATTTTCCCAGAATAGTCTAGCAAGATAACATATTAACAAGAACAGGTAGCATAAGTAGGTTACTAATGAACAGAATATAAGTGTGACTTTTCGTTTCAAAAACCATTTGTTCTACCCAAAATTTAAGTTCACTGCATGTAAAGATGATTTGAATCAACCTGGTGCTTACATATATTTACACTACTAAAGTACAGAAGTTTTAAAGAATTATATGCTGTAAAACCTTGACATCCCTCTCGTTACTATCAAATTATCATGTGATGTAATTTGTTGAAACATTGTTGTAAATTATATGCCTAGTGAAGAAAAATAATGAAAAACTTAAAAGTTATTTAATTAACTCGTCAATCTGATGTTGTTTTGTTGAGTTTCTGTTATCTTATTCTATCTCTGCATTAAATTGACTTCATATTACACTGGAGTTGAATATTTAACTACCCTTATACCCTACCCTATCCTCAGTGTCCAAACAGAGGTGTACCGGTAATGTGTAGTGCAGTGTAATAAACTAATTGCTCACAACCTACATGTCCTTCATAAATTTCAAAGGACCTCTGTTTTTATGTTACCAACACCTTCCATTTCAGAGCTAATCATTGAACAGAAAAATTGGAAATATTCAATGTAGCTTATTGTCTACCATTTTGTATGACTGTAATGATGTGCGGTAGTGGGTGAAGCTATGAAGATATGATATATGGGAAGTAACTCTTAAAATATAGCCGTCATACAACAATAAGTTTTCCACTTGAACTGTTCGTAAACCAAAGATAAATTTGATTTGTAGAAAAGTTAATGGCTCTAAAGACCACGCTCTCACAAATGATGGAAAGTTGAATAAGTTAGCACTATTACTCTTTCCTAATTTCTAACTGTTAAGGTTGACCTTAGATTACCATGCACAAGACGATAGCCTATATCAGTGTAAAACCCAGCGCAATCATTCCGAACCAAAAAAGGCCCAGACTTTAGAGCACTTAACGTGTCAACGTCCTTTCACGGAAGTACTTGATATCAAGACAGTAGCTTTGTAGTTGCTATGGTAACACATATTTTATTTTGGGCCATGAAAGATGAAATTTTTAAAATATTTTACATTTGGTGCAAAAATGAGATGCGAATGTGCAATCGGCCTTCTGGTATTTCAGTTTATGTTGTACAAAGCGGACGAGCTGGATTTGCTATTTGCTGAGAATGAAAATTATGCGGATAATGCAAATTATGAAGATTTTGAATTCGATTTTGAAGATTACGACTATGATTGTAAGTGTTTTCATCTTTAAACTCATTTTGCTCTAGTTTTAACAAATTTCTAACAGTCGACCACACCAGTTTGAATAATCATATCAGGATATCTCATAAAATCAAATCATATTGATACTTATTATAAAATTTTACGATACATTTAAAATAGAAAAAAAAATTATTTCATCTACCGATGATTTTCACTATTTGCAATTAAATTCATTTTTCTGAATAATGGGCTATCATTCCTCATGTCGTTAGTTAATTTCCAGATCGTAATTGCATATAATAACGTCTGATATATCCTGCTTCCACCGGATGCCACAATGTCATTTCCGTTATTAAAGTTCAAGGAGTTATTTATTATACACACCCCAGTATTTAATATTATTCATCCATATTTTATATATAGCATTAATAGGCTACTTATACTGTCCGACCACAATGTTTATAGAATCACAATTTACCGTTCATTTGTGATATTAAGATATTCACTATCCAAGATACTGCTGATAGTCTTAGATCGTCTTTTGTTTGAAAAACATTTCGTTCAATGTGTAACTCTGATTTTAAAAAAGAGAATTTCAGTTTGAAATGGGTTCTCACTTGATAATTCTACAAACTTATCAACCTTTATATTTCTATGATGACCTTCTATCAATGACTACGTTTTGAAACCCCCCACCAAAAGTCATTCCTTCCACACCGCCAACACCCAACATGTAGAACTGACTGTTTACAGCATTTTGATTCCCATCCGTTATATTTTTCAAAGTTTTAAATGTAAAGAAGACAACATGTAAAAATCCTGGACCAATAAAACATGGTAAAGTTGAGATTTGGGGAGATGATTTGTTAATAGACTATACATGTGATGATGGTTTTATACCGCATGGTATAACACATGGTGCGTGTGATGTTAAAAACAAAGCTTGGACCATAGATCCTGTGGTTTGTATCTGTAAGTTCTTGGTTTTTCACCATAAGCAAGTTCTTTGGATTTGCAGATTGTCAGACGCATAACTAATGGTATGAAGAATGAATTTGATTCAGCATGAGTCCTGGAAACCTGTTATTTTAATCTAGCTGATCAACATCTTTATAATACAAACACCACATTTGCATCTTCCACCCTGTTATCTTGCTTGAACAATATTCTATGGACATCATAAAAATCATTATGTATATTCATCTCCTTTATAGCATCTGATTGTAATTTTTTACTACCACCGAGAAAAGGAATTGTGACAATGGATAAGAACCAAGGTGTTGCTAGCATAACCTGTGAACAAGGTCTTCACCTGATTGGGTCTCCAGTGTTATATTGTCAACAAGGCAAATGGGTCGGTGACTTTCCTGTTTGTGCTCGTAAGGATGCCATTTCTAAATTTATATCAATATACATTATATTTCATCCAGATTCCAGGACAAATTCTGTTTTGTTTTCAGGTGACAATGTGTGCATTGATAGGCATCCATATAATTTAGTTTGCTAATTGCCTTGGACAAAAGTATACTCTTATTTTCTCCTCAAAAGATGTTTATCTTTGAAATGTATTATACTGTATGACTTTATAATTCTTTTAGGGTCAAGTGAATTGGAAAACCATTCTGGATTAAATGTCACTGAAGAGGAAAGGCTTCACAAGAAATTCGTGGATCAGTCTGATGAAAGCTGCTTCCATTATCACATTGAACCACCAAAAATTCTTTATTCCCTGGTCATTACTTCATATATCATGAACACAAAACGAAAACGTTATGTTATGGTAGCAAGATACAGCTGTGTCAATGGGTACAGACTTCTCAATGGAAATGCGGCGTACCTGTATTGTAAAAATTCAAAATGGACTGCAGAAATTATGCCAAAATGCATTTTAGGTATAGATTATCTCATATCAAATCAGCAAAGTACCCCGCCCCCACCACCTTTAATCCATGATGTTAATCCTGTTATAATCACTATTTACATGATATTGATGATGTATTTCTTGGTTGACATATCGAGTCAAATTGTTCCGCCCCTTGAAACATTTCAGCATTTCACTTTGGCATGATATAAGCCTGGGCTCTTCATAACCCCGATGAATCTGTTTCAGATAACGATCCATGTGAAGTTGACAATGGAGGCTGTGCTCATAATTGTGTATTTTACTCAAAGACCAATAAATACACTTGTACTTGCAAACCTGGTTACACTCTTGGATCAGACAAAAAGCAATGTGTCGGTAGGTTGCCTTTTCCTTCATTGATTGTGATTTGCACTACTTCAACAACAAGAAAGGGATAGCTGCTTCTGTATTAAAGCATGAAATCTGTCCTGGTCAATCCATTCCTTAATGTCACACGAAGGGACTATGAATCTTCCCTAATAATGGGAAGTGACTACGACATGATGAATCTTGGCTAACTATTTTTGTCCTTATCACTTACATCTCATCTGAATTATTTCGTGTTTCAGATATTGACGAATGTTTGGTTCAGAATGCTGGTTGCCAACAACTCTGTATCAATACTCAAGGATCATACACATGCAGTTGTAATAGAGGATATATTACTAATGGAACTAGGTGTACCGGTAAGTTAAGTCACGTTCCCCTTTTCACAAAACAGGAAGGTAATTGCCATATTGTGACCAAAGTAGGCTACAGTTTATGGGAGATAATCTTCACTTAATGCTATGAGTTTCCGCCAATGTTGTAATAATGGTCTATTAACGCTGGTACAGTATAGCTAAATATGTTCCCCTTTTCAGTGATTTTAGGGGGCTGACAAGAGAATAACCTATAACCTAGCCAACCATAAGCTACAGTTTCTGTTATACCTCAAAAGTTGAAAATCATTCCTTATGACAACGCGTGCATGCCAGGGGAGGTAATCATTCGTATGTCATAATAGGCTACAATTGATTGAGATATTAAAAGATGATATTTATATGTACCCTGTTTGCATGTAAGCGTAGGATATATAATTAGTATTATGCCTTGGTCTCTGTCATTATAGTAATAATATTCGATATTTAGTACAGGTACCTAACCTCATCTAAATTAGGGCAGAAAATCAATTTATCAAGGGTTCTGAATATTCAAGTGATTAAAGAAGACATTCTTATAAGTATGCCGATGGTTGTCATACCAGGTCTCTTATCAGGAAAGATTATCGATATATGTCATGGAACTCGTTTGCTCACAACAGATGACATTAGTAGACTACCCATGTAACCCCAAATGCGCACAGCATGAGACATACTTACATAATCTTGACCTATATCTTGTATGTAACAGCAGGACATACACACCACATATGAAAAAAAAAACGACTTTACACATACCTACACATTCTATCAAGATATATCTATCAAGACTATGCAAGTAAAGGAATGTTTTCGAAGATCCACAGCACTGCTTTTTGCATAAAATATATTCATTTCACACATTTGTCCAGAAAGTAGGCTAAGGTAACGGTATCATTGATGCCTGTTTGAAGGCTTCTCTTTTGGTGGTTTAGGCCTAACCACGTTTTCATGCTACTGGCTCACATCACCCTCAATGTTCTCTATAGAATATATTGATATAAATAAATAATAATATATCTTGAATTTTTAACGAATAAGTCTGTTTATGTGCAATGGGATTTGCAAAGTTAAAAGCCATACACTAATATTAAAAAATTTAAAATAACGTTTTGTGCAGTTTGATGAAGATCTAAATGCATGTTTTCTTGAATTGTGTAAGAAATTAGCTGCTGAAATTAATTATGCCTTATAGTTCTACACTTGTTAAGCTGTCCACGCACGGCAGTGTGCATTCCAATTTAACGACATAAAAGTTATATAATCTTTAAAACTTGTGAAGAAAATAAACAATAAGGGAAGTGTGTATTCCGAGTGGTAAGAGGCAATAAAATTAATAATAAACAGACGAAATAATCCTGACAACAATAATTCATTACATAACATAATGATTTAATCAGTCAGTGGGCCAAACATTCCGAAAAATGCCGATCCTTTCCGAAACCGACCATATGGACTCGGAGATAATCTTCGTCTGCTCCAATTTCAGTCTGCACGCTTGGCACAGTTAGCGCGTGTTGATTACCGTTAGAGCCCGGAAATGGCTGCGAATGCACAAGGCGTCCGGTTCCCGCATCCGCTCATTTCGATAGTTTTCCCGGATACCAGTTCACAGTAGTGAGTTGATATGAGGAGGTGATAGGATGTATACTCTGGGCGATTTTTAAAGGTAAGTTATTGCTAGTTATTCACTGTTGTATTCACTAGCACACGGTGTGAAATTTGAACCCCAATACTAACTGTTTCGTCGGAATCAATTTGATCCATGGAGTATATGCTATGGCCGTATATATACACCACTTTATATCTAGCACGCGGGTTTTATTTCCGACCTGTACTCTAACTTCTCATACTTTTACCGACTTTTTGAAAATTGCAAACATGAGATACATTGTTAAACTTTGTATTTATTGCTTTAAAGTTTGATGTTTTGTTAACGGGACTTCGTATTTCATGGGAATTCGTGTCTAACATTGTGTTAAGTGCACCTATATTCCGAGGGCAGTATACGTGGATATTCTACGCTTATACACAACACTGTATAGCTAGTTCTATAAATAACTATGGTATATTGGTGATAACGTATGGTTAGTAGGTCTAATGTCCCAGCAAGGCAAGCGGGCAGGAAATGATCACGTGGTTTGGTCCTGTTACATAGCTTAAGTGGTATGGTTTAAAAGGCTGGCTATATAATTAGATCTATTTACCCTATTTTCCAACTTGGTAATATTTATTCTGTTAGTAAAGAGCTGGTGTAAAATAACTTCCAATATATACTAACAGTCACAAAGTATATATGACTAATAGTTTTGAGGTTAAGACCTAAAAGTAACTATTAATTCAGGAATAAATCAAGAATGTCAAGTCCTGAAAATGCCATCAGTACTATTTGATACATGAGAAACTCCTAGTAAGATTAGTGAAGAGTCAACCCATAAACTGAGTTAGTTGACCTATTTATCCAGTAAAGCTCTATGCTTCATGCCCATATCAATAGAAAAAATATCTGCATATACTATTTCATGAAAAATTTAATGACTTCAAAAAGTTGGACTAATATATAACGCATGGCATGGTCATGAAATCCACACACTGTCTCTCCCAGTGGTTTTAACCATGTGCTCTTCTAGTCATGATGTAATATGTAAAGTTGGCCTATATGATTTAGGTCATTGCTCTTCTTACTAATATCATTTGGAAAATAGCTAACATGTATTCAACACAGTGTTTTCTTATGGGCCCTCTTAAAGATAAAGCATTGTGCATGCTGAAACAATCCCAGGTTTTTTTGAAACAGGTTAAAACATAATGTTACTGATGTTTTTTCTCTCAGTACACATATCAAAATATACTTAAATAGCGTGGACACCTTTTAAAAATTTTAATAGGCTTTTAGAAAACATATGTGTAATTCAAGAGTAGGATACAAGGGAAAAAAAATTCTCTTGAGGCATTTTTGCATTCAATTTATGACATTTGACAAATATTACTGTAAATTTCTCTTTGTAGTTTTTTTAAGGTATGTTAGATTTTAAAACAGATGAAAATATAATAGTTTTTGCAAGGAAAATTGCTTCAGTCCTAGATAATTTGAACAAGAAATTTGCACACTTTTTTTTTTCCAAAGAAACAAAATCAGAGACATGTTCCATATACTCAACATCAATAGTTGTTACCTGCATTTGTGCCACAATCTCCTAGCTAATTGGATGGGTAAAGAGTAGCTAATTATATTCTCAGGCATGAAAGATAACTAGATGAATATATCCCTTTAACTGAATGAAGTAGGTCATAATTCCTGAACCATAATTGTTTTTGAGGAAGTTTTTGATATAAAATTTTCCAGTAAGGAAATATCTCCTCAATGCCTACTTCCTTTTAGGTTTTTTTCCTTTTAGTCATTCTTTTATTCACAATATTTAGGCCATTTTTCCAACATAAAATTGAATTTTCCTTATGGGGTACAATATCTTGTCAAAGCCTTTTACAGATGTGATTCCCCTGCTTCAAGAAAGGTGTATCTGTGTTCAGAGTGTTGTACATTCTGGACAAATTATTTTGATTTTACCAACCTTTAGTTCAATTTTATTGTCTCTTTGCACAATGAAAATTGTAGTATATGTTTGCTTACGATCAAATATGTCAGCTGAACAATATCTAAGGAGTTTATGTTTCAGTATCAGTAATATATGTTTCACTGAATAATAACATACGAATTGGCATAGAAATCTGAACTATTTTGATGTGGTTTGTGTTTTTAATTGTATATAATCAAGGTTCTTCCAAGTCAACATTATGTCACAGCACCTGATGGTTAGAAGTAATCAATAAAAAGAATCAATGTCATGTAAAAATCTACTGATTGCCAATGGAAAATGTTTAGTTGTACTGAAATCTTATAAAATTTTGAAATTGAAAATGAAGTTGATATATTGATAAAACTAAGGTGTATTATGGCTTTTTATGGTTTTACCGCTAATCCATTGATTTATGGATTAAGCCTACCTGTGTTTTTGAAATAAGTTATTCCATATATCAGAATATCTCATTTGGGTGTCTGTCTCTGGTGAACTTACTTAAATTGTGCACTTATTATATCTATACTTCCCATTAAATATATTAAATTCATTTTAAAGATAAAAATTGTGTTGAGAGTAAGGTAACATGCAATTAAAACCTGCTCTGTGACTTCAAGAAATGAATATTGTAGACAATACAAGACCTTTGAAAGAAACTCAGGTCAGACAAGTTTCTGATTCTATCAGGTGTCAGAAAATCTTCTCTGACTGTATGGCCTGTCCCTGTCTTGATAACAACAATGAATATGGAAAAAATTAAATCAAGCAGGGATGCATTTAGAAAATGCCTGAGGAGGGGGAGGAGGCCAAAGATAAGAAGAGTCTTGACAAGGTCCAAAGCCACTAGAGGCCAGAGGCCCGAGAACGGATGGCCTGATTTTTGAGCATTTAGAGGACTCAATATTCACTTCAAAATTCACTCCCCTTAAATACCCTACTGAAATAAAGTAATCTAACCAATACAATAATACTAGGGAAAGTAGAATTTTGCAGAAACTTTATTACTCATATGTGATTGTATATAATGTTTTTATAACAATATACTGTACATCAACTTTATCAAGCCTGTCTATATGCTTCAATAAGTTTGTTATTTTATATTCGTTGAATTTAAGTTGCCAAATCTAAAGCAATGTTTAGTGAAAATTTAACATCTGCATCTGTTCAATGAATGGCTTAATGATTAAATGCAAAATAGGAGGCAAATAGAATAATTGACATCTGATAACTATTTTTATGTTGGTTAAGGATACTTCTTTGCATTGACCCTATTTCAGTGTCTTGTTTTAATGAAAGTCATACAAAATATTTTTCACAATAAGTGTTGTTACCAGTGTGTATTCCCATATAACTGGAAACAGTTCTCTTACAATTGGCATGCACAGTACGCCATCAAATCACAAAATTGTCACAAGCATTTAATAATAAGTTGCTGAGCAAATTGAGCAATTTTTGTGGAACTGAATGTAAGTTTAATGCATCATTTTTCAATTGTTAATTTGTTCTATTATATCTTTTCAGGTATTGCAACTAAGAAATGAAACATAGAGTATAAAAATGTTGGTAGCAGAGCGTGAATTAATCTCCAAGCTGTTACGGCAGTCCATATTAACATTATGTCGAGAAACTATGTCACAGTATAAACTGGAAGTAGATGGTATTGTGTGTATCAGTTTTGAGAATGACGCTCATCCCATTATTATTAAAGTCCATGAACAATTACAAACTGATTCAGGAGGCAGCACATTATGGGCTTTAAATAATAATAAAAGTGATAATTTTGTGAACTATGACCCATATGATCTTAGTGGTAAAAAATCCAGTGAGCTCAAAGAAAGGCTTCTCAATGATAGTCCAAGACCTAGAGACTTTTCTGTCACTGACGACGACTTGGATGATAATTCATTCAACGATAGTTCCTATTCATACAAGAACTCCATGAAACTTGGATTTTTGGCAGCAACCAGAGGAAGGCTGAACTCCAGTTTTAATGACAAGAAATCCAAGTCAAATCCTTTGGAATCAAGCTTAGCAAGTTCCCCTGATGAATATAAATCTATGTCTCCTCCACTAGGTGGTGTCAAATGTGAAGATGATGATGAAAGTGCCTTTCAAATTCCCGATGATGATTCCCCATTTTCTACCTTGCCTCTACCTGATGTTACGCCGGATGCTATTCCAACCGTCTCACGTCCAGGAATTCCTAATACCATCCATGCTCAGAGTGCCGCTTTAACTCATCCAGACGGTTATGTCTGTAGACGCTGTTTTCAAGTCCTGCCTGATACCAGTGCCTTTGAATCTCACAACCTCAGGGTACATACCCTTTTTACCTGCAAAATTTGCTTCAGGGCTTTTACAGCTAGAAATAACCTTAAACGCCATATTCGCTTGCATACCGGTGTAAAACCGTACAAATGTCCCATCTGCAACCAAGGATTCACTAGAAAGGATGACCTGAAGGGCCACGAGCTCAGACACTCTTTCAAGAAACCATTCAGATGTAACATCTGCAAGAAAGGGTATACTGATAGGTCATGTGTAAGGAACCATATGGCTAAAGAACATAACATGAAGCTTCAACATGTTTGTCCAAGATGTGGAGAGGGTTTCAGCAGCTCAGAGAAATTCACTGAACATAAGAAGACTCACCCAGAATTCAAAAATTACAGATGCGAGACATGTGACTTTATAGGAGTCAATGGGTTGATGCACATAAAGCATCAGCTGACCCATCAAGACAAGACCTATAGCTGCAAACCCTGTAATAACACCTATGATGATCCCTTTGAATATTCTGAACATCTAAAGATTCATAGAGTTGACGAATCTTTCAAATCTTACCAGTGCTGTTTTTGCGGATCATGTCAGCAAACCTACGACCAGTTTGTTAGACATGAACACTCTCATGCTCAATTCAAGAACAATACCTGTACTATTTGCTCCAAAAGTTTTATGTATCCTTCAAGTCTTAAGGATCATATGGCTACCCATAATCGAGCTGAAGAAGACGAATCTAGTGACTACTATTGTAATGAATGTCAGACTGGCTTCCCAACTCTTGACAGCTTGGAGGACCATATTGTCAGCACACATGAATCAGTCGACCAGATGATGGATGATAGCCCATATGATGATACAGTAAATGATTCATTACCAACATCAAGGCAAGATTCAATTGAGGAAGCTGAACAAAGAACTGAGCATCCACCACCAGAACCAGACGAGCCAGAAAGTGACCTCAATATCCTCAAGAACTCCTACATAACCTTACAGAAACCTCCTAGCATCATACCAATGAAAAACCGATCTCAAGGACGATCGAAGAGTTCGAAAAGTCCTATGGGCAGATTCAGTCCCCTCTCACTGAAATCTGCACTCAGCTCAACAGACAAACAAAGCCTATCAAATAAGACCCCTGATGCTTTTGCCAGCATGGTTCTGGCACCCTTTCCTCAAGATTTCGCACTTGGGGAATCCATGAAAACCTATGCAAGTACCGATGACAGCAATCCAGGTGTGAATAATGACAGTCTGTCAGACAGGAACACGTCGATTAAACTGGAGCCAGGATCATATGAGAATGGTTCAGAAGATTCTAGTGTCATCTCTGGGCCTCCCAATGAAGGAGGAGAAACTCCTGACAACCGAGATATGATGGTACTAGAGAAGGTTCAAATCAGACCACCAGGATTTGAACGAGTATTTACACCAAGTCTGCTTTTCAAATGTCATTCGTCCTTCCAATGTATTGAATGCAGCAAAGTTTTTACAGATTTTAACCAATTTGAAACCCATAGTGCCATACTCCATCGCCGATTTCTCTGCGAATTTTGTGGAAAGGTCTTTACCGCTAAACCAAACCGAGATCGCCATCTACGTTACCATACTGGTGAGAGACCATATAAATGTGGTCTCTGTGATGCTTCATTCTTTAGAGGTGATGATCTAAAATACCATCGCACTACCAAACACGCCTCAGAGAAGCCGTTTGTCTGCGACGTTTGTGGTTTGAATTTTGCTTGGCCAAAAGACCTTCAACGACATCGAAAGCAAAAGAAGCATTTTAAGATTTAGATTTATTATGTCAATGAGTAATATTTTTAGTAAAGGTGTTTTATGCAATTAATGCATGTATCTCAATCAAGTAAGGGTACACTTTTGTTACTTCTTGCCTTTTGATTTTGTACATGCATTATTTCAACCTCTGGAATGTATGTCTAACAAGTTTGTTGTTTTTCTTATGACTAAAGTTTTCTGTTAAGTTTGTTACGAAAATTAGGACATTTGGGCATTTAAAACTTCAATGAATTTATGGAATTTGAAATATTTATTAAACTTGTACAGAACCATGATCTATTAGAGCATATATTAGCCATTGAAGCTAAGATTATTGTCGAAGACTGAAAACAAAGCTCATCACTGTTGCAAGATAAGCAAAAACTTGAAATAGAATCCATTGCATGCTTTCTTTTGGTTACATAATTGAAGTATAGAGCCTCTATTGAGCTCTATTGTCGCAAATTAAGTTTTTCTTCATTTTGTACTGTATTTTCACTTGGTACATACCAACAGATTGTCGATAAGGAAACACGTGTTGACTTTGAAGAGAGAACAATACATACTATTGATTAAAACCTACACGGATTTACATTGTAAATTGACTGCATTGAAAATATTCGGAAATCTGCATAGATTAATTAATTCCATGATTGACATTATAAGATCTGTCCTTTTATGGGCATTAATATCTACTTGGCATTTATTGTTTTTTATGATCGAAAATTTAATACCTGTAGCATGGCTTTTCTACTAGTTATGACACGGACAACATCTGGAGAAAATCTATTGAAGTAAACTTATAATCAGCATATAAGCTTTGTATTATAAAGTATAATACCATTATTTTACACAAGAATGTTCTGTTGTCATGTCGGTTCTGATGTCGATAATAGATACTAGGCCACATAAAATGTATTTGTCTAAATAACATAAAAAAAAAATCGGTAAGGGATAAGGCATGACTTCACAATGAACCACTATGACACAGTTTCTAAATGCGGGTCACCAATTCAACGAACTGTATTAGGTTAAGTATCAATAACGATAATCCGTCTCAAATATTTTAGTTGACACTAATCTCGGAAACCGGTTTTATACCGAAATGATGTTATTATATATTATTCAATATTTTTTTATTATAGAGTTATTATGAAATACTGAATGTTAAAACTTTATGCACTAACTGACAGATTCACATGGGAAAACCTACACCTGACCAAAACTAATTATTTTGAAAAATAAAAAAAACGTAGATTGACAAATAAACATTATATTGAAAGCGGTTGCCCGTGTTGGTGACATATTTTATTACAAAACCAGTTTTTCAAATATAACCAGTTATTTTTGCTCCGTTTATAACCTCTGTATAATGAAGTGGGCAGCAAATTGTTTCAACCTTAACAACAACGAAACTAACCTATGAAAGTTTCTTTCTTTTATGATTCTTCAAATATTAATCTAAATTTTTGACCGACGTTTCATAAAAGATTTTTTCGATGAAAATTGATGACAAGTCTTAAGTTCTAATATGTCAATTTGTATATAGACTATTCGTCAAATTTTGATGGAAAGAATTTTTGTGAACGACAAACAGAATATTATAAAATGTCTACTAATAAGTTTTAATGTAAATATTTAGTTTTTAATTAATTCCATTTTTTTTAATTATGCATGCTTGTGATATGTTAGACTGCTGCCATATTTTTCTTTTATATAAACTCTTTTTTTCTAATTTTGAAATAAGTTCGTCATTATACGTCTCTTATTGTTAAGAAACGTGGGAGATCTTTTTTCTAGAAAGTAATTGAGCAATATTATTAAGTACAAGTATAGGATACGTCAAGGTCATTAATATAATGGGTAAAGCTTGACATGCCCATCAAACCCGGTTAATCTCACATGATAGATATATTATTCACAATTTCAAAATTTGTGAGATATTTTAACTCATTAGAAACTTCTGTTTACGGGCTTGGTCTGTAAGAATTAAAACTGCTGAACGCTGATTGCATTAAGATGGATACCTTTCTTATCTACCTATATTATGTCCTGCCTTATGAGTCGGGAAGCATCTGAACTATGCAGATTTCATGGAAAGAAATGTTAATGTCGACTGTTCCGCAATATGTAAATATTTGTTTCTGCATGTTATCACTTGATTAGTCTATTTTTAATAACAATTATTCTAGTTGAATTTTATAGGATTGTTACATTAATTACTGGAGTTTTCTCCCCTTATAATCCGAGCTTTCATATTGTGTAATATATTTTAAACAAATTTCATGATGACTACTGTTACTGACTGTTACTATATAGCCTCTGATATTTGTTTTCATGACCATATTAATTATCAGAAGCCAGATATTAATATTATATTTAGTATTTTCATGATTTCATTATCATTAGTAATGTAATATTGATTGTTTTGATTTAAGATTTTGATCAACGAAGTGCAAGCTGTTACATGGCTTGTTGTACAGTAATGCAAATTTATATAGGATAGGATATATCCTAGAATATATAGGATTTCAGAAGTACAATTCTGTTGAAATCGTCTTCCTCAATACGGCATAAAATGTGTAGTAAATCATTTCAAATATATTCATTTTGGTAAAGGGTATTTAAGGTTGAACACGGGCATTATTCTTGAAAGAGCGTCAATATATATTTTGCTCAAGCATTTTCTCTCAATATTCAGGTTTATTTCAGAAGTCCGTTGTGACCAGATAAAACACTTCTATTGTAGAATGATTTTTGAATTGTGTTGTCTCATTATAATGTGATGAATTCGAGTGCCTTTCATAATGAAATAAATCATATATTATCCCTTAATTCCGGTTGTATTATATTCATTCGCTGGTCTGCTTGGACACCACCTTCCGCCGATGAAAAACTCAGCCGCAAATTGCCAAACAGGAGACATAGAAGCTCGCATTTACACTGGATAGCCAACTGATGAAATACATGTTCTGGAATCACAATTAGGCCACTGCAACACCCCTGTTACTATTGTGTATCAAGAGAACCTTTAAGAAGACCTAATGACTTTTCTATTGCATCTGTTAGTCATTCGATTTCGCGATATGATGTCTTGAGGATGTCTTGATGCAGGATCCAAACGTGCCTTTCAGATATATGACATGATTAAGCGCTGTAAAATGTATTTAATGAGGTGCACAATCTGATTTGGTTGTCAGACTTCGGGCTTTTACAGGAACGTTTTGATTCACACAGTAATAGAATCCGTAATTTGTTCGTCGGGATTACACAATCAGATACTTCCGAAGTTTGAGAAAGGCGTTACTTTGTATTTGATAAGAAAAATATTATACCTTATGTAGGCAACCTTAATATAGTTTGTCGACCAAAATATCGCCAAGATCATTTGTTCGTACCGTCTGTCATAGTAAACCTACCGGTAAAACTTTGAGACTGCACGTAATTGTTTCCTGAAAGTACAATGCACAATATTCTAAACGATAACAAATGAAATTGCAATAAGGCGATGCCGTTGAAGACCAGAATAATGCTATTAAGGGGTGTTCAAATAACACAATAAATCATCATTCTGACATCTGACTCTGACAAAAATTACCAGATTTCCATCCTGCTCACAGATTCAGCTCTGTCGAGAGTTTCCGAATGATTTTAAGCCTCATAGATTTATGCATGAAAGGGGTTTCCAATTGCCTCCTATTCATATGTAAACGATAAACCTCTGTTTAAATTGTCCATCCAAAGAAAGATGACGATTGATCTATATTGTGTTTCAGACATAGACGAGTGTGAAACCAGTAAGAACGTGTGTCCAGGACCTTGTATTAACAGACCTGGAAGTTTTAAATGTAACTGTAAAATAAAAGGTTATAGATCCAGTAGCAAGCCATATTTCTGTCAAGGTAAACTGGTCTACTTATTCATGATGATAAGGATCGGATGGGGCACGATATACAAAAACAAACACTCATACACAATCGCATCATCGTGATCTTCTATTTGGAGCCCCGACAACTGCGAAATCGAATCCTTAAATTGCAAGTCCTGACAAGATAGTTATTGCATATACAATGAGCAAGATTTTCTTTTTGTGTCCCACAAGCATCTTAAGTAACTTCAGCAGCTTCACCATACTTCACTTCACTATAATATCATTACTATTTCCGGTGTTGCAATACCACATGCAGTTGACATCTGCCAATACCACCTTAACAATATTGTAGATGTAGATGAATGTAAGAAGAAAAAAGGTAAATGTGATGATATTTGTGAGAATACGAGAGGTTCTTATAGATGTCGATGTGAAACAAGAGGCTGGAAACTCCATACTGATAATCATACCTGTGTGGGTAAGAAATTAAATTCCCGACCTCAGGCTGCCTTTTGATTACAGAACAGATTTAAGAAAAATGTCTAAAAGATGTCTAAACTGTCATTGGTCATAAATGAAGATATATTAACCCTTGCCAGTGCTTTCTGTTGAATAGTAATTTTCAATCACCACTATCAATATCATATTACAATATATTTCAGATGTAAATGAATGTCAGAGATACAATGGTAAAGTATGTCTACATGGTGACTGTATTAACTCTATTGGTAGCTATAGATGTATATGTAACCCAGGATTTAAACCAGCAGAACTTGATAGATTCTGTCAAGGTAGAGCATGAAACCTGTTCTCAAGCAAATAGTGAATCCTCTTATTCTCTTTGGGGGAGCTTTTGTTTAAATTCGGGAAATTTGCTCCCGTGGGGCGTCTCTCTTCCCCCCCCCCCCCCCCCAACCCCCCCACCCCCCCCAACCCCCCCACCCCCTCTCGTAGAAACGCTACTAACAGTGGCGACATCGACATGGAGGCAGATTAATCACGTCTTTTTCTACTCTAATTACAGATTTAAATGAATGTAAGGTAGATAATGGTGGATGTGAAGATGAATGTATCAATACGGCTGGGTCCTACTATTGTAATTGTTCTGAACTAGGCTATACACGAGCTTCTAATGGTTTCCATTGCATTGGTAAATATATATTTTGAACTGACATTATCTTGGGAAACAAATACATGATTTATTGCTCACCTTTTTCAATTTTGGTTTGAACTTAAATCAATTGACTGTTGTGGAACAACCTGTCATAAGAATCGGAACAATGTTAGGTTGTAATATTGCGGTTAAGAAATGTTAAGAAACTAGGATTATTGTTATAACCCTGTCCTAGAATGCTTCTTAAAGATTCTGCTTGTAACCCAAATGGTCAGTTTGCAGATGTAATGAAGGGAAATGCAATCTGATTATAAACATGTTCATGGAAATCTTTGTTATCACACCACTGTTTTTTTTTGAAGATATTAACGAATGCACGATTGGAAATGGGGGTTGTCAAGGAACATGTACCAACATACCAGGATCATTCAAATGTTCATGTCCAAATGTAGGCGAAGTTTTGGCAGAAGATGGAAAATCTTGCAGAGGTAAGATCATTGTCAGCATCGAAATCTGTGAGCGGAGTTTGTATCTGAACAGGTGTTTAAGGGCGTGAACATAAAGATATCAAATTATGCTGTCGGTGCCGTTTCGGATAAAATAACTAGACACGAATATGGGCATCGTCCACTATCCATTAATGAAACCACCAATGTATCGTTCCATAGCCTGAGACAATCTACCAATCCATGGCATATCCTCAGACCATTTATCCATCCAGAGCTTAAGACAATTGATCCGATTCCTATCCTCAGACCATTTACCTATTCGTAGCCTGAGACAATCATTCCGATTCATATCCTCAGACCATTTATCCATCCATAGCCTGAGACAATCTACCAATCCATGGCATCAGACAATCAATCCGATTCATATCCGCAGACCATTTATCCATCCATAGCCTAAGACAATTGATCCGATTCCTATCCTCAGACCATTTACCTATCCGTAGCCTGAGACCATCATTCCGATTCATATCCTCAGACCATTTATCCATCCAAAGCCTGAGACAATCAATCCGATTCATATCCTCAGAAATCTGTTCAATCCATAGATTCATACAATCTATAATATTCAAAACACCAGAAAATCTATCCAATCCAGGGCCTTATCCAACCCACTAAATACATAAATCCAATTCATCGAAAAGGGCCTAACATTTGGGGGTATTGGTTGCAATTTATAATTGCATGTTATTTTGTAGCTTGTAGAGATGACGAAATATATAATAAAAAATATCAAACATGTGTCAAATGTCCAGAAAACGCGCAAACCAAACCAAATGTGCTGATGCCATTATCTGAAGAAGATTGTGTCTGCAAACAAGGCTTTGTAGGAGAACCATCACTCCGTGTTCCTTGTATGGGTTAGTATAAGCCTTATTCGGAGGAAATTCAAAATCACTATTGTAGAGAACACTTCGCGGGAATACTTAAATAACTGGAGCATGTTGAACTGATATTTGGACGTGTTTCCAATTTACAGTTGTTTCAAACGCTCGATAACAGATGAAATCAAATGCAAAAAATGTAAATCTGAAAGCTTAAACCGATATAGTATACTATATATATATATATATTATATGATTTTCCATATCTAGATATAGATGAATGTGCCAGGGGACTTATAACATGTCAGTATCAGTGTATTAACACGATTGGAAGTGCTCATTGTATCTGTCCCAAAGGATTCAAGTGGTTTGATGCCAACAAAGTTTGTAGAGGTAAGCTTGTCAAATGGACTTTGAAGGTGTCTTCGAATCGACATAAATTGCTGGAACTCATTATGTTTTCTGAATCGACATGTTGTGTTGAAAAATCAAAAACCGAGAAGCTATAGGATAATAGTATAGTAGCTATATGGCTATGGGAACAGCGCTGTCTACAAAAAAAGTCAAATGCCTCCTGATGACTTCAGTTGCTTCTTTCTTTCAGATATAAATGAATGTCTTCATGATAATGGTGGATGTAGTCAAAATTGTAAAAATATTCAGGGATCATATAGATGTTCTTGTGATAATGGTTATACTCTGGATTCAGATACACATTCCTGCAACGGTAGAGTATTTCTTATTTACTACTGATTTACTACCTAAAGCAGGTCGACAAGCTGAATCATTAGTAAAGAGGGTAACGAGAACGTGCTTGAATTTGGACAAACAAGAGATCCGGACTAGAATAGATTTTACATCCAAGCAAAACTAAAAGATGTCATCTGTTAACAGAAGAAACACTACTAGAGTCAGACAGAGAACACTCGGATTTGAGTGCTTATCCTAAACAATCAATTATACATTGAATGGATTTATTATAGATATTGATGAGTGTCTACTACCAAGGACAAAATGTCCACATGGATGTTTAAATTTGAATGGTAGCTATACCTGTACTTGTCAAGAAGGATATCAGTATAATGAACGAGGTGATAAATGTGAAGGTGGGAAAAGATTGTTTAAAACTATACATTTAGAAATTATCTCTCTATCCTACCATAATAGTGTGAAGCTTCTTTGCAGAATGATTATGATCATGATTTGAGATTACTTTCGAGCATGTTTGTGTTTCAGATATAAATGAATGTGAACGGGAGGAACCACCATGTAACCAGTCCTGTACCAATATACCTGGGTCCTACCTGTGTAATTGTGATGGTCCTGGATTTAAACTTTCTTGGGATAACACTGCCTGTATAGGTAAACTTTGAAAGTCTCTGATCAAATAATCATGTTATAGTGTCAACTATCTATACTGTTGTATGCAGTATATTTAGCGGATATCATATTTACATTTATAATTCTTTTTTTTAAATCCATTCTTGTCAAATTCTGCATGAGGCATTTGCCTGGATGTATATATCATGGCGTCTTTTTGAATCCCCAATAACTAATAATGAGTAACTATTCAGGATTAAAAAGGAAGCTATCACAAGATTTCAGTCTAGGTAATTAATGTTATAACTATTTCAAACCCAGCTTTATTGACCGAGGAAGTTATTAGAGACTATGTGGCTACAAGTGATGACTTTCATACAGCTGAAAAGCATAGTGCAGTTTTTCTCCACATATAATGTCGTTAATTTCAGGATTTTTGGTAGCAGGTCATATGACAAATCACTGAAAATTGGTATTTCAAAATGTAGCTTTTTCACACAAAATCGATGAATTTTGTCAAGTTAGATCATAGTTCGGAACAAAATGTGGCTCTCGGGTTCAGAATGTGTCTCATTATTAAAGCAATCATCACCACTCAGTGTCTTTGGGTTGAATCTTACTCAGTAGAAAAATACCACGATTCGATTGGATATTGGTATTTCAAACCAATGCCAGCTCAGTGTTAATATTCCGGTTTGGATTTTGAGAACAAATCACCTAACCCTTGATGCGCGAGTCAAAACAGAATCGAATTGATCTTTCTCTACATTTGGTTAACCTTAAAATTTATTTTTCAGATATTAACGAATGTATGGAGGGACACAATCCGTGTGGTGAAAGTTGCAAGAATACAATCGGGTCGTTTACATGTGAATGTAATAAAAATGGATATACATCTAGTGAAAATGGTTTGAAATGTCGAGGTAACCGCCATTGTAATATATGATTCAATTATTTTATGATTTACTTGAATTTTTTTTACAGTGAAGGGAAGCATTATTACCACTCAGCACCTGTCGCAAGCCATTTACAAGGGATTGTATAGAGGTTTTCTTAAATGTGTTTGTGTATCGAGGACACTGATAGCATCAACCTGCACTAATCCAATTTTCGATCAAGCATCTATGGTTCTTGCAATTTCGCTAAAACTAAGTGTTTATAACTAATCGCAGAATATGCTTTATCACATAAGGCCCTCCCCGATTAGTGAAGCCATCAAACACTTACTTTAAGTGGAATTGCAGGAATCACAGACGCCAGATTGGAAATTGATTCTATCAGTGTTCCCGATTCACATAATTTTTTTTAAGAAAACATCTTTACAATCTATTTACGGTACCTTGTTCAAAGGCAGCATGCTAAAGTAATATTTATTTTAACATAGACAGCATACAGCAAGAAATGAAATGAAATGCAATTAGAGAAATTTTGCCACGACAGCCTGCTCTTTATTGATTTCCAACTGTCGAGGGATCTATAACGTGCACAGCCGGTAAACGGGTCCTCGGTTTATTGTCCTATCTGAACGACTAGACGCTTTTTCCATGTCAGCCCCTCTTACCTGCATCACTGAAAGGGGGAAACCGGATTGAAAAATCCGAAGGTACTATCTCGACCTATGCCGAGATTGAATCCTGGACCTTCAGGTTAGAGAGCAAGCGTGTAACTTCACTGAGTCAAGGCGGTTCCCATCATGCAGCAAGAGACCTCTCATTCAGATAAGGGGTTATGGGCTTTGACCATGTGAATTGAGATTTTTATGCGAAATAATCAGTGTAACTCGTGTGGAATGGTTAAATAATACACCCTTTGAATAGAATCTTTCAAACGTCAATACTACTCAACTTCACATTGGAATATTTTGTTCCAGACATCAATGAATGTGAACTAAATGATACTAAAGTATGTGAACAGTTATGTATTAATTTACCTGGTACCTATAGATGTACTTGTCATCCTGGTTATAGGAGATCTGGATCTAAATGTATACGTAAGTAGCCCTTATAGGTTTAGCGCCAATATGGTTGATGCTTTTACTAATATGATGTATACTTGCCGTAATTGATCATCAGCAATATTAATATCGTAGCATCCTATATATGTACATGTAATTATCAAAACTTTTTAAAATCCTTGAAGATTTTGTAAACACTCGTATTTTGCCCTTTGTTTTGTATTCCAGCATGCCCCATTGGTTTCTTTCGAGGAGTTAGAGATAAAGACTGTAGAAGATGTCCACAGCATGCTGTGACTGGTGAAATAGGATCTACGTCTAAAGTAGAGTGTGTTTGTAGAGATGGTTATAAAGGAGATCCCAGTAGAGATCTTAAATGCCAAGGTACCATATAGAATTCACGAAGGACATCAGACTCAGTAAAAGATGTAGCATAGTCAAAAATAAATGGGCTACGTCCAGAAGAACTAATAGTCTGACCAACCATATTGATGTCGAAAACTCAAGGTTGTCTCGGATGCTGCTTTGTAGTATGACAAGAAACAGCTTAACAGTTATTATGGTATAGTGGAGCTCAGACTGGACAAAATATTAAGCTGCTTTATAAATATATTCAAGATTCGTTATGTGTATAGGATTTATTTTAACAGAAGAGCATCATCAGTTAAGTTACTCATATTTCCTTTTTAGATATAGATGAATGTGCTATAAATAACAACGACTGTTCACATAGATGTGTTAATACTGCTGGAAGTGCTTATTGTACTTGTAGAGTTGGATTTCAACTTGATCTGAACAGAAAGACATGTATTGGTAAGATTCTATCTGCCCCTCAAGGTTATAATTATAGGGAGTCAACTGCTTTATTACCGTACTTTACAGTTCCACTATGAAAGTTCTTTAAAGGGCATCAATGCAAAATGATACAAATCTTAAGAGATTATTGATGTGGAATTGAGGTTATTTTATAACACAAGAGCAAGGAGAACCTTATTTCTACTGATAATCAGATTCACTTCCAATCTGTTTTCAGATGTAGATGAATGTAAGAATGGTAATGGAGGGTGTGAACAGATGTGTTTTAACACGCCAGGATCTTTCTCTTGTTCATGTAGACCAGAGTTTGAGCTAGCATCCAATAATAGAAGCTGTAAAGGTGGGTATTAGTTTATTACAAGACATATTTCCTAGTTAATGTTAACAAACACTGACAAATTCAAATGAGCATGTGGGTTTAAAGGAGACGTCTATACATCTGAAAATAGCTAAAATACACTTCCTTTAGCATCTAAAGTGTCTTGCTATTGTTAACTTGTTGTATCCCTCGACTCTTGTCTTATCTGAAAGCAATTGATAATCGTTTAACCCTGTTTGGTTTTCAGACGTAAATGAGTGCTTAAGTGTTAATCATAGATGTGAACATCGATGTGTTAATACCAGAGGTAGTTTTCGTTGTGGATGTCATAATGGCTATAAGCTGACTACAGACAATAGAACTTGTGAAGGTATCTCTAATTCGTTACGTCCATCTAAAGTCGAGAACAACCTTTAGAAAAGTTTATATTTTTACAATTATTTTCAAAACTACCAAAGTCATATTTCACCAGTATGATAGCTCTGTTTGCAACGATGTGGATTGTCGTCTGCTTATAGATAAACAGTCTTAAGGTGCGAATAGACGAGGTCCGGTGCGTTGTACGGTGCGGGATTATCGATACAGAAGAAAATTCAGGAAGCGAATCGTGTCCACACCGTGTCTGGACCGTGCCTGGACCCGTATCTCGTGTGTTCACTTCTTCCGTTTTCGTTTGTATCGATTATTCCGCACCGGACACCGTACCTCGTTTATGTGAGGCTTTAGACTCCCATCATCACGACTAGAATCGAATCGAATTGGTATCACTACGACCAATATTCTCTTAACCTTTATACCATAATGCTCCATTACCCGAAATCCAACATTCTTCATATTGTGTTTTGATAGATATAGATGAATGTGAAACAGACAATGGACGGTGTACAGACAAATGTTTCAATTCAGTTGGATCCTATGAATGTAAATGTACTGTATCAGGATATCAGTTGTATGGTGATGGTAAACAGTGTGTTGGTAAGGTCTACTTCAGATCTTCAAACTAATAAAATAATGTACAAAAATCACAATCCTAACAGACTGTTCAATGTACAGGCAATATCTTTGGAAGATGACGAAGCATTTTGACGTTGCATTCCATTTTCAGAAACGTTAGATAAGTAAATAGGCAATGGGTCCTCCATGTTCCTTTAGCAACAGTACGATGATTATTCACAGCTAGATGATCATTATAATCCTACCGTTGCTAAAGGAACATGTAAGTCCTCGTTGGCTGACATTTTTTGGAGAGCAAAGCTATGTGGATTTGAATAACTAACTGACAAAACTAATTAGGTGATCTGGTTGGTAAATTTGGTACATCGATTTGTGTATTGGAGTTGAAAGATACCGGATTAAAGATGACCTCGGCGACCATCTTATCTATCAACAGTCATTACGATATTTATTAACCTTGTTGATATATATTTAGATATAGATGAATGTGAAGATGAAACACTATGTGAAGACCAGTGTGAGAATACTTATGGATCCTATAAATGTCTGTGTAGTGGTAATGTTAATCTTTCAAAGGATGCTCATACTTGTGACGGTAATTCTATTCTCTCTACAGAAAGCTTCATTATCTTGAATATTTTCGAATCTACTTTCACCATCTTCTAATCCGCTAAAGACATGGGCTTACTGATATCCGACACCGAAACTATACCGGAAGAAGTGTTTTACCGTCTTGCAATGGTCTGAAACTGCGAGTGGCTCATTAAGTTATGTTATCTTCTATTAATTAATCCAGGCTCGTTGATTGTTTAAATTTCTTTGAGTAACTTTTCCACAGCTGGTTATTGATGTTTCAGATTTCGACGAATGTGCAGACAATTCAACCCATGCCTGTGATCAGATCTGTATCAATCTGCGAGGAACGTATAGATGCGATTGCTATCCTGGATATTATAAGAGCGGGACTAAATGTCGTCGTGAGTAAATATTTACAACTTTCTCCTATACATATATGTCCTTTTCTACTCCAGCCCTATTGTCAACTGTACAGTTTCCCATCTTCATTAAATTAAAGCTTCAGAGCAGATGGAAATTCAATTCAATTCATTACACATTGGACCAAGGACTATTAGTGGCTTTTGTAATAGGGGGCATCATTTCTTATCATTACACATGAAAAATGCCTATTGACCTCTCCCTTAGTTAACACTAATCATCGAATACTTATGTTTGTTATTCCAGTCTGTCCAAAGAATTCGTACCGCGATGCTACAATTCCGGTATCTACATGCTTGAGATGTCCAAAACGTGCTGAAACGCCAGGTCCCGGAGGCTCATCTATCACTGATTGTAAATGTACACAAGGCTATGAAATAACTTCCCCCGACAGTAATGAATGTACAGGTATGTCAATTATACCTCATGTTTGCAAATCAAAAGGGCTTTTAAAAGATGTTGCGTCTAAAAATTGAAAGCTGAATGCCAAACGTGCATTTGTTCAGTATATTTTTAAAGCGTTTTTGTAAATCAAAATCAGAACTACTATTTGTAAATACAACTTGGTATCGCTTATAGTAACTTGTTACCATTCAACCACCCCATCATCTATTTTACAGATCTCAACGAATGTGGTGAAGAATATTTAAATATCAGTCGCTGTGAACAAAAGTGTAATAATTTACCAGGAAGTTATTTTTGCTCATGCGCTAGAGGTCAGCGTTTATTGTCTGACAGAAAATCGTGTGATGGTAAGCATGATCTGAGCTGCAATCATATACACCATGTAACCATGGTTATCAATGTAGACTCTCTAAAAGTACCCAACTAAGATTTTCATCAGGTGGTAAATGAGGGTGGGAATATTATAACCCACCTTTTGTAGTAGGGCTACAATTCAAATAATGCCTTTTTGGGCTTTTTTTTTCAATTATTTTGCTACATTTAATTGGTGCATTTTCCTGAGACTTTAAAACATTCATTGTCTGTGCAAATGGTTCCTTGAACGACAAGACAAAACTAATGCTGCTCTTTCTTTACACTGATCTTTTGCTTACAGCAAAAGTGAATTGTAAACCACTGAGAAGACAGCGAAAGACCCTAGTATGGCCACCAGATTGTGTAACTCCTGGACGTCGCCGTTTGACTCCAGGATTCATGTGTTCATCTAGGTGTTACCAAGGATATGTAATGACCGGAAGTAGGCTGAGGACATGTTTACATGATGGAAAGTTTTCAGGGATTGAACCTAAATGCACTCGTAAGTTTGATAATTGATAAATTTTGTATACTTCTTTTCTTCTTACAGGGCAACAAATTGGGCTAACAAATTACAGATTGCTAAATGCAGATTACTGTGATAGACATTTCTGCAATTTCCTATTTACAATCGTTATACAGTATCAGCTAATGTAGATTTTATATATGAAAACAGGGACTTATTCTCGACAGCATAACTAAAATTGTGTTTAGTTAAAATCACCTTTTAAATAGGTTTAGAGAATTCAACGTACCATATTTTAAGTAAAAATTTTAACTTACAAATGATTTTAATAGCTTTAAGTTTTAGAGAATAAGGCCCCAGATCTAAAGGCGGCTGACGATGTCCAAGAGCTCATTGCAGGATAAAGGGAAACATAGCGGCGTCATGGTTCCTCCGACAGAGTCGACACTCCGACAAGACATTTGAGACTTTTTATCAAGCAGGCTGCAATAAAAAGTTGGAATGTTTTTATAACGTATGAAGGAACGAAACAGTAAATAAATCATTTTTCAACATCTATCGTATGTCCTATGACAGCAAATGTTTAGCTTTCCCACTGTGGCGAGTTTCAACGTGAATACACTTATCGAATTTTATTGTTCGCATATTTTCGCTGGAAATTTAAATTTAGGCTATCTCACCTTTAGGCCTAACCGTTGATTATTTCAGTCTGCGAAATATCATTTATCCCATACGACTCTTGATCGATATGAGGACCAATGTTTATAAAATACAATTCTGCGGAAATATGAATTCCACATTCCAATGGTAAATTCGAAAATGCAGTCGCAGACAACATCTCAACTCACAAGTAAAATTTTAAAAAAAATAACATGGCGCGCTTTCCTTTTATTCACGTTGAAAGTCGCCTCTGTGGGGTAGCTAAACATTTGCTGTCAAAGGACATAGGCCTACGATAGATGTTGAAAAATGATTTATCTATTGTTTCGTTTCTTCTTACGTACTAAACATATTCCAACTTTTTATTGCAGCCTGCGTGATAAAAAGGTGCTTTTCAATTCGCGAATATCAAGTCTCAAATGTTTTGTTGGAGGAACCATAACACCGAAAACCAGTGATCTAACGTCTTCTTTCATGTCAATCAACATCTAATTTTAATCTCTCCTATCTGTTTTACAGTTGCCAGGTGTAAAGGATTAAGAAAGATACCCAATGGAAAACTTTACCCACCAAGATGTCGTGGTAGTTCGGTGCCTTTTGGAGTAAGATGCCGGGTCAAATGTTTGAGAGGTTTTGTATTAAAGGGAAGAGTCGGAACAAAATGCCGAGCCACACAAAAATGGAGCCATCGCTTGAAGACAAGATGTGTACCAATTTCTTCTGCAAATACAACTACTTAATTTTGAAAATTTAAGCTATATAGTATTAAATATGATAACATTGAACAATAGCCAGGAAGTTCATGTATAAACTGGTTCGCAATTAAACAACTTAAGCTTCACCTCAATAAGCTTACAATCTTTACTCCCAATAAGCGAACAGTCTGAAGTAAAATGTTTGTTAAAAATGATAAACTTGGTATACTGTCGACTTCTATAAGACCCAGAGGATTGTTTTTCTTTGAAAATGCACAAAAAGACGTTTTGAACGCCCACTTGCAACCAATTTCATGGTGGCTTCAGCTTAGCGAGTCCAGTGTTAGAATTTTTCTTGAATTTTAATCCTTTAATCATTCAAATAATTTGAGATTGTTTAAAGCTGGTATAATATAATCATCCAAAACTGGTGATAATTCATGCATGGCTTCAACAATTTCTTCTGTATTCTTCAGTTCCTTTTTCACCAGCTTATGTTCGGAATTTTCTTCCATAACTGTTTTATCTACAAATATTCTGGCTCGGAAGTTTGGAAAACAGATCCACCTTAAGCTGTCATGAAACGGAGTGATGATTTTATCTGTCATCACAATTTCATACATATCGTCTAGTGCACGAATAGTAGAAACTTCATCATCTTCCACGGAAAATCCATACAACTCCCTCCAACCATCTATCATCCGTTTTGATTCGCAGATTGTCTTTTCTCCTTTATCATCTCCTTTATGAACCCTGATAATAAGTCCTTCATGTTTGATGTATTTATATTCCACAAACGACTCACAGAAAATAGGTGATTCTTTCTCAAAATCAAGACATATTGGTTGAAATGTAGGGTATCCAGACCCCGCCTCCAGAAGATAAACATCTCCTTTTTTAACCAGATCCCTCAGAAGGATAACGAGGTGGGTGTATACTCCAAAATACCTTGCCTTCACCACGCCCACATTGAACTTCAAAGTATTTAGCATCTCATAGAAAAGGTAATGATGATGGTAACAAACCCCACCTTCCTTTCTGAACATGGCTGATTTTATAACCCCCCACGTTGGACGATGGCGGTTTACATAATCTATACTTAAAAACGTCGACACGTTTTGAAATGGTTGAATTTGAACATGAGCTCGTAATATGGTTGTAACTATTTCAAGTTTATCTGGATTGGTCAGAAATTGATCCACATTGGATAATCCAAGAACATTCGATAAATAATCCTTAACTTCTTCTAGTGGAAACATTTTACCGTCTATGATGTATTATAACTACACAACGTATATTAAGTTTGACCTCGGCCATTAGAGTGGAACAAAATCGTTATCAGTATGAAACAGTGAATATATGTTATATATATACATACTCACGTCCAAGTACACGGTGGTGGCGACAGTCGGTATGCATTTGCATTTATTTATTTATGGGCAGGGACATTCCGCTTTTTTTGTAAGTCGAAAATTTTATTTGCTCAAATTTGCGAAAACTATACACCAAAATATGGAGAAATCTGTCCCTTTAATGTATCTGATAAAAAAGTTTTATAACTTAAAAAATCTAACCGTTAATTTTTCTAACACCGAAACTATTTTAAAAATTTTCTACAAACACAAAAACTATGTCAAACTGCTTAATTAACAACAATTAACAATTTCAGTTTGATACATAGATATGAATATCATACTTAAGGTATAATTTACGACGTTTTTGATAAACGTTTTGAATGACCCTTTAATTGTGGAACTGCCGTCAAATGCGACAGCCCTGTTGTGGAGGCACAAATGGTTCACAAAGAATATTTTTGAAAAATTGCATGATTTGGTTCCTTTTGACAAAATCGTATTTCTAAATGAATTAAAGGTGCAATTGGGAGAACAAACCCTTATTCTCAAGGTGTGTTGGCAAACGAACAAGGGAGACGCAATATAATAATTATAATTTGGGTGTATAAAATTGAACAAACTGCTGCGACCGATTGTGGCACATGTGAGAACCTTGTTATTTCTGTGTTAAAAATCTACAAAAAACACTTGGAATTTGAGATGCCAGCAGCCGTAAGTCCTATTAATTTCAGTTCCCGTTTGTTCCATAATTCCAAACTAATTTCCAGTATCGGACAACTGGTGTTAAGAGTGAAGAAGTTCCTAAAAACTTCTATGTAAAGCACTGGCCAAGGTCACAAATAAAGAGATAAATGTTCAATACAAGATAAGGTGAAGTTAGCATAGTTAGTATTAAGTTAAAAAAACAACCACGAGTAATCAAAAGTCTATAATATGAAAGTTTTCTTGTTACCAGTTCTAAAAGAAAAGAGTATGAATAGGTTCTGAAAAGATAAACATCTATAGGATTAGAATATATTATACTTAATGAGCTAGAAAATAGAGAGGGGGGTCAAGTATTTTTGGATTCAATGGGATCGAGTATAACTGTTGAAAACCAAAAAATACAATTGTTTCTTCGAGACCCGTCGCCTTCATGTAAACATCCGTCCCCCGTCGAGGCTACCGTAGATTTCAAAGAATGTACTCAAAAATCATAGAAAACGAAATATATCGTCACACCATATTGTGTCGCATCACGCTTCGGATACCTTGTCACATATTATTGCGCCAATACAATGATATTATGATATATTTAGGCCTCTATTCTAATTTTTATGGGTATTTCAGTTTCATTTAACATAGATTTATGGTATTTGTGTATTTTTGTTATTCTGGAATTTTACTTGTACATTGGATAGCTTCAAACTTATGATGTAGTTGTAATAATTAATATCAAAACATGTGCTTGCGGCGAACCAAAAAAATGAGAAAAAAAACGAACGCATATCAAAGTTTTATGCGATATCCCTCGAGAAAATCATCAGATAAGCACCAAATTCAAAATTCAATAGTGCACATCTTCATAATGATATTGATACACATACAAAAGATCAAATGAATCCATAGAGAATTGTAGCCTGTAGAGTGAGCACGAGGTAAATGTGAACGGACGGACGGACCGACAGGGGCAACTACAATATACGTGTGGGCGTATAAAAAAATAAGTTATTGAAGCCGTTTGAGACTTGCTCGCTGGTCTGAAAGGGTTGATATTGAAGATGGGATGAATGTTAACGCTATACAAGATTATTATTATTATTATCATCATTATTTTGCAGAATGAACAAAAAAAATTCATGTCAAAGTCATGGAAAATTTATGTCATATTCTAGCGTCCCAGCTCCCGTATATATTATATTATAGTTAAATGAGATCAATAACGCCGATAACGATAGTTAATTTTTACTGCCAACATGTTATTGTATTATATATATACTTGATGGTCAATCATATAAAATGTATATAAAATTGAAAAGGAATTAATTCAGTCCAATATGTTACAAACATTTACTTTATTACTAGTTTTTTTTATCAATAAGTTCACACAAGATAACCATTAATTTTTATTATCTTAATTTTAATCATAATTTCACTTGTATCGATTCTCTCAAATGAATATTAGCATAATATTACAATATATTATGGCAATGTATATTATATTGATGGTATTGATTTGGTAACAATTAGAAGAATGGTTTTGGAATTATTGTCCTTGACTTAGTAAAACTGTGGGTTACTAACGAAGAGCAACAGACTTAGTGATGTCGAAAAACATTTTACAACATCGATAGCCAGTAACTGGATTTCGTCGTCTGTCGCCAAATGCTGGTTGAGCACTGCCCGACTAGATTGTTGCGAAAAATTTCATCCGTAGTTTCTATTAGCATGACTGGTAGGAAATGGCTCAACTGAAGATGAGCCCGTTGGCTCAAGTGTGTTTTTTGGCGACGGATCAGTTATAAAATTGTACAGAAGCCTCGACGAGCGACGGGCCGTGGAACCATAATATGTACGCATCCAATGAGAAGAAAACGCAAATACAATCTAATAAAATTGTAAATGGTTAAACTTTCCTAAACCTATTAAATATTCTAATCATGAAATAAATATCAAAATGAAAATCTAAAACTGAATCATTTATGCTTTGTGTTTTGGAGACGGGTCAGTTATAAAATTGAAAAGTAGCCTCGACGGGCGACGCACATTATAATGATATTCCTATACCGTCTGCGACGGACGACTGGCCATCCGCGACGGGTCGATGGTATGGTGGAGCTACCTCGAAAAATAAATTTCTCTAGTACATCCATTGATATTCGTGATGCAACCATGATCTTGTTAGCACAGATAAAGAACAGGAAAATGTTTTCACAAGTTTGTATAGAAATACATTTATACACACATTAATTGGAATGTAATAAATATACATTATTTTCATTTACATACATTTGATAAATCAGCAACAGAAACTAACAGACTTTAATAGCACAGGTTAATGAAGAAGACTCAAATTTCTGAGTGAGTGAACTATCTGAAGCCAGATTTTCCAATACAAATGTATCAATATACAATTACTGGCATGGATTTATTTGCATAAAGCAAATCATTTTATTCAGGCTGCTATGCAAGCAAATAAAAAGTAATGTGGAATAATAAGGAACATACCAAACCCAAACTAAATTCAAGAAACATAATATGTTTGTGTTCTAATTTATATTTTTTTTTAAATACAACAATAAAGGAAGAAATATTCATTATGATTTTTACAAATATACAAAATATATACAGATTTTTATCCAGAAAATAAGTTATGTATTATTATACAATGATATTTACTTTCATGAGAGATGATACAAAGAGATCAGAGGATAAATCTCATTGAAAAACAAATGCACAGCTTCAAAAAATGTGACTCCAAAATTGAATCATATAATAAATTTGTAATTGATTAATTATTGTTCTTAAAGTATTGTAAACAAACATATCAATGCAATACAAACTTATGTTAGTCAATTATATCATATACATCCATTTAATTCTCTGGGGGTTCAGAGACTGAGCACTACATTTGATATTGGGTATAAACTAATTTACTATTTATAGCACTCTGGAGGATTCCAATAAGCCGTTTTGTGATAAATTTTAATATCAAAATTCAATAGTATACATTTCTCATGTACATTTTCACTATTACACTTTATTTTAAGTTTTTTTTAAAAAAGGGGCATAAATATTGTTGACCAACTATAATCAAAATAAACAGTAAACAAAAACACAATCATCAACATAAACAATAAACATCAATATTTTGATTCCTGACTTGTGTCAATCAATGAAATTTGCTGTGTGCATCATCAACATGATTGAAATCCAACATCCAAAACCTAAACTGAACAATTGGTAGATGACCATTATCTATGTATAATACCGAGAAGTAGTTGTTTCTACAAACAATAATGATGCTCGGTCGTTGAGAAAGTAAACAATTACTAAAGAACTCAGGACTATTATAATTCCTAATGAGAATACCAGAGTCTGAAATAAAACAATAAATTAGAGTAATCAATAGTCTCAATTTATGTTTTGGTAAGCACAACTACTAGTGTAGGGTATCAGTACTACAGTTTAAGGGGCTTGTTGCATCTTGACTTAGCTACCTATAGAAATTGTCAAAGTCTGTAGAGTTTTAATTAAATACAATCTGGATGTCATGTACTACAGAAACAATATCAATTTCTTTCTTTTCCTATTTCATTGTTAAATGTAATATAATTACAGGACCATTTATTTTTAATGATACCTAGATCAACAATTTTTTGAAACATAATTAACATGCACAAAATGTAGTATGTACATATATACCAATAAAAATGAAAACTTTACAAGTTATTTTCACATACCATACAGTGCACACATTGAATCAACATCTGAGTGCAATACATTATTTTTAAAGTCCCAATTTCTTTCCTTCATCAGCTCTTTTTATTAAAATATAGCTCTGAATTTGAGCCATGGATTCACTACTATATACTTTTTAAATACCTCAATATTTGAATTATCCCAGAAAATCGTTTTAAGAAATTATCTCTTGTCATTAATGTTAAAAAACAGGAGCTAGTTTTCTACTGTTCTAATCATATCCTCCCAATAACATAGCCTTCTTTATGACCCAAACCAATGTATCTTTTATTCTAAACCACATGCTTCCAAGGTTCAAGGTTCAATCCTAGCCTAATTAAACATTCATATCTTATAAAGGTTAATGATTTGACTGTATTTGCCACTCTTGATCAATTGAAATTCACAATATCTTTCATTTGGGTTTTTTTCTCTTCACATAGATGGTTGATCTTAATTTACACATTAAAATGTCTAGCTGTTGAAATTTTGCATGCAATAAAGCATCATCAGATCAATTAGAGGCCAATCAGGATATTCCATAACTTATTGACCAGATTAACATTGACTTGCTACATAATGCACTTTTCTATAATGGGCTTACTCTACCTACATCTAATATAAAAGCACATTCAAAAAAGTAAGAACCACAAACATTCCAAATAAGCAGCCAAAATAAACCATCACCAATGACTACCAACTTTTGAAGAAAAAAATCTCGCAATTACACCATTCCAAACAACCATTACCAGAAGATTAAAGACACACCTTGAGTGGAAGAACAATGTTTTCAAGATGGCTGACTATCAGATGTAGCAGCAGACATAAACAAGATATCAGCACTTATACTTAATAAGTATAAGACAACCAATGAAACGAGTAGGATGCCAAAACCTACACAGAATGTTAGTACCTGAAAATTACATAGAAACAAGGCCATGAAGTTAAGTCAAGAATTGTCCAAAACCTGTTCTGGATCTTCCCTACCAAAAGGTATCAATATTCTTATAGTTCATGATGTTGGGAAGACTATCCTTTAAAAGTCAATGTACATTTATTTTCAGAATTAAAGTTTTCTTACCTTTTGTGATTCACTGGGTATTAAAAATACACGTACTTTAAACACAGACCAAACACTTTCAGTCCAAGTTGAATATTCTTCAGATAACCAATCATAGTCTATTGATAAACAAAGTTATATTTTACATAATACGTTACTTCAGATGTGGTATGTATATATATTTTCCCAAAATGATCTGTCTATATGCAACCTCATTAATTTCCAGAAAAGTGTCAGGCTTCAAGCTCAAAACAGAATGAAAACTGCAGCCTAGGCAAATGGATACAAAAATATTTATGCTTGCATGACACACAGTTTTTTACCCATGTAAAAGACATGTAATAGATATTACAGATTGCTGAAGAATTCTGTAGCAAAACTCAATTTTGGTGAAAATTTTGGTTAAATACATCCTACTTACTATCTATAATGAAAGCTGGGGATTGAGCTTTAGACAGTATTGCTGTAGATTTGATACACCAGCCCTCTCTATCAGAACTACCAGACTTAATAGATCCTTCCATCCATAAATAATTATATCTCTACAAAAATAAATATCAATTATATAAAATTATATCAACTTCTCAATATTCATAAATAACAAAACAAAACTATAATAATTTTACCTAGTAATAATTTATAAATAATGTCAAAATGGTTTGTTCCAATTACTATCTGAAAAGACTGATGTCGATCTCTTGAACAGTATATATATGTTTTACAAAGAATAAAGGCATAGTTGCTTATAGCATTAATAGCATTTTAACTACTAAGGAAATAAAATAAATGTCAAAATAAACCAATCTGAATTGTCAACTTAACAAAATAAAATGACAAACCTTATCTGAATCTGGTTGTTTACAATCATCTTTAGTACTATTGACCAATCTTTCTCCCAGATACTGAGCTAATATAGAATGAGTGAGTCTAGTAATCTGATTGGTATTACTATCTACACTCACATAAAATGGGAATGGTTTCTTGGCTATTTCTGAAAAAGCAAATTGATGAAACAATTGAAGACAACAAATAATATCATTTAATGTTTCCACGAACCAGCTGGTAAAAAGGACCGTTAGTTGTGAACCAAAGTTGTTATCCTTGTAAAATATTGGCCTAGTTAATATAGATTATGGAGTAAACAAATTTCTTGTCATTGTTCAATTCTAAATAAATCATAGCTATACTTTTTGTATGTTATGGCTTTATCTCATTCTGGACCAAGTTGGCTTTACAGCATTAAACATGTATAATGCATTATATAAATTTACCAAATTCTAAGGTTTATTTTTGATTTGCTTTAACTAAATTTTAAAATTTTTTTTTATCTTAAAAATATAATAATATAATTACTTAAGTCATCAGAATCTTCAGGAGAGACACTCTGTTTAAATAGTTCACAGACAGGATTCTCCAGAAAACAGTATAATAGATGGGCAATCTGAAATAATAAAATATACAACTATTAATTTCTTGTAATTTCTTTGAAAATGTTAGTTATATGGCTGCTCTGAGAGGAAAGTGGAGTTGATAAAACAAGTCACAGAATGACATCAGGTGTTTATTCTCACTTGTAACACAGAAATTATTATATGGAGCTCGAATATAATTAAGTTTTTATGACATTGGCTCAAGATATTAAAAATTATAGTTTGAAGAATGACTTCCAGAAAACAAGTAGTCATCAACCAACACAGTGTGAAAAAAGTAAATACTCAAATTTCATTATCAAAGGATAGCGGGGCTGGCCATCAAAGCTGCAATGTCACAGTGAGTGCTCTAGAAGGGAAAGAATCCCTGCCTGCATAGAGACACCTGAGAAGAAAACACGATTTAGTATCAAATTACCTCTAATTCATCAGCCTGTATTTGTTGAGAGATATTTGGAGTTATATCTTCACCAGTGGTTAATTTATACAGAAACTGAGCTAGCACTGTAGATACATGTGTTAATGCTTTAGCTTGTTCTGTTACATAATCATATTTCTCAGTCTCATTTAAATCGTCTGGATAACTAGCATTTATAAAGTCTGGTAAATCTAATCTACTGTTATAAAATCTGAAAACAAAATGATTTCATTCATAGTTTTAGCATCTAAATCAAATAGAAATTCATTACATACCTATGTATACGCGAAAAAAATAAAATAATTTATATTTCCTTAGAAAAACATCCTATTAGATCAACTATTTCCAAACTTAGTATTACCCAATTTTCACTTTTAACTGTTTTCTGTTTTTGCATTTCAAAAACATAAAAAAAAATTTTTTTATGGGATTCTGTGAAACTGAATCTTACTTGTTAGTGTATTGTTGTTTATGATCAGTTAGAACTATGGCAGGTATATTGGCTTTTTTCAGGAATCGTTGAACAGAAGCTGGTGGTAGGGGTTGATCTGGTCCTACATCATCTAAACTAACATTCTCTTCTGTACCTATATCTTTTATATACTTAATCATTTTCTCTATCTGTAAGAAAAATAATACTGGTACATGTACTCAAAAAAATAACAGGTCAATGCTTCAACCAACATCGATTTCAAGATGCACAATACACACAAACAGGAAGGAAATCTCTTTATAGGGGAAACAGTAATGTAAATAGTCCCTTACCTCACTAGCTGAACCACTACCTCTAGATATAGGATCTGTATGAATCCAAAGCTTGCCCTCATCACGATGTCCTAACTGAGCTAATTCTATTATATGTGATATAGATGGTAGTTTAACAATTTGGCTGGACTTCACATCATCTTTAATTTCATAAGGAAAACTATTCTTCTCCATTTCATATACCATTCTACTAGAACCAATATAATCAAACGCTTCCTGGAACACAAGCATCAGAATTAAAGAATAAAAATGCAATTTTGAGATCGTCTGAATTTTAAATAAATTTGAGGGTAAACCTTCTGAGGAATAATAATTCTTATGTGATTTGAAAATAGAAGAAAGATTTAATATCCAGAATACATGTTTATAACAAAAAATACGTTTTCAGATCACACGTTTATAACAAAAGATAAATTTTCAGATCACACATTTATAACAAAAAACAAGCTTTCAGAACTCACAGACTACTAGATTGTGCTTTTAAATGTTGAATTAAACAGAATTTGATATTCCCATCAAGCCATCTATTGCAGAAGATAAGAAATTAAAACATCTTGATCAATACTTTCTGTATTGTAGATAGACTTACCCCTTGGAAGAATGTAAACATGAGATCTTTAGAAGCGTTCTGTAATATTTGTCTCACTGGTCTTAAAGCTTTAGCAGCTGATAATAACGCTACTATACCAGTGACAGTTGTATCTGAATTCTGGTATTCATATTCAAACATAGAGAACGAATCCATCTGAAATCAAAAAACATTACATGAAATATGTTTACATGTGAATAACACACAGAAACATCTAAAAAGACTGATGTTTCTAGAGAATACAGTTTGGAGAAATTTCATTTCAAAATTTCATGCTTCCTTAAGTTCACCTGCTATTTACTAAATACATTTAGTTCTTTTGTTCACCCACAATGATAACTCACTTTTTTGCTTTAAGTTAAACCAGATTCTCAATTAATTATTGCCCGTGTGAAAGCAATACATCAACACCAATATATACAATACTATGACATCATGTCAAAAATACACCTAGAAAATTTGAATACTTACTCTTGTAGAAACAACAACAACTGATTTATTGAGTCTTTGTTCCGATTTATCAACCATTTTGGTAGTTGCTACAATATTCTTATCCCCCATGGCATCACAATATCGTGTCTGTTTCAGATTGGTCATGTGATTAGATCGGCGGATACATGTGATAGTATCTTTAGCTGCATCCATTCTGTCATTTAATTGGGCAGCACAAATAGGAAAACTTCTAGCAGTGCCATTGATTGGTTTGTTAAATTTACGATAACACTGTAAATAAATAGAGAAGAGTTAAGCAAACCAGCAAAGACATCAGACAATTTGTTATTCATGTAAATAAAATAAATGTAAAAATATATGCTTAAGTATATATCAAGATATAAAATCTACATCAAAATCAAGAGTTCTACTGATGAACACTAACCTCTATATCATAAACTACCTTTTTATACCTGAAACAGGTGTTAGGATGAGATCTTTGGCAATCAGAATTATCTGTCATTCTATCAATACAAGAACCAATGACACAAACACTGTAAGCTCACTTAAATATAAATCAACTAACCTGATCTACTAATACATTAAAATCTGTCACATTAGAAATAGCAAACATGGGAAAATCATGATAATCTTTAAAATACAGCCCATCACCAGCTGCATTCCATTTGACTTTTTTACAATGTTGATAATCACTGGAATTACTGTATATACCTGACAAAATAAAACAGTAGATTTTTAACAATTATAAATCAGGTCACTACTTAAAAATTAAATTCTTTACTGTAAAATGAATCATGGGTTTATGCTTTAATTCTTAATCAATTCTAAAAGACAGCTTGCCAGACAAGGTAACATACGCTCACTACCAGCTGGCAGACACATTTTGCTGTATCAAAAATAATTTCTGCAGGCACAAAATTATTTTTTTGTCCTTTGTTTACTGTGAATTTCAATTTGTAATTTGTCATAACATGAATAAAATTGAAACAAATACACAAAGAAAATCAATAAATTTGAAAATAAATAAATATCTTTACTAAACACCAAATTATTAGCTGAATTAGCTTAAATTTTGAGATAAAATTTTAATAGTGACCTTTGTGTACTTAGCACGCCTCTCTGTTTCAAGAATTGTGTTTGCCTTCTGTGTCCTTGGTATAGAAGGCACATATTTTACAACAAAATTGTGTGCAGACACCTTTATATTTTGTGTAGCCCTGCATCATACTTGTTTTTGTGTCAATCATCCTCTTCTTTCCATTCACATTTTTTGTAGTATGAGATGAGCTCTTATTGTTTTACGAATATGATCCGTTTAATGTCAACATTATATTTTGTCTCAAGCCAGTGTAAAAGCATTATAACATATACTTACCATAGTTATCATTAGGACATGATTTATCAGCTGAGAAACCTTCAGTTGGTATCGGTGATAAACTTTGATTGTTCAGTATATTTAACACCAATATACCATTGACTCTTTTAGTATTTACTAATCTTTCTACATTATCTCTGAAATGTCGGAAAATATTTTTTTATTGACACAACTTTCACTTATTTATAGGCTACAAATTATAAAAAAATTTCAGTGAATTTCACTTAACCATTGAAACAATTATTAGCTTTGATCCGATCCAACTCTATATTCTTTCTTAATCAACAAAATAAATCATGGTAATAATATTCAGACCAAATACATACACAGTATTATACCTTGGCTTTAGAATGAATTACCAGAATTGCAATGATTGAGTACTCAAATTAACTTCTTCAGAAAAGTTTTCAATTGATGACACTAGGCAATGTAAATATTATGATTAAGAATACTAGTGTATCATTGGTATTTCTTTAATAATGGTAGGGCTATAGTAGCAGGCTGAGTTGCCCATACTAATAGTGATTTTGGACATTAAAACAAAGTTAATACTTTCACTTACTTCCTAAAATCTAGAGAAGTAATTAAAACAATATATGGAGTATGTGGTCCAGATTTTAATACCCAATTATAATCTTCTTCTGATTCTAAATAATGTAATGTCCCTACATTACCTCCTGATTTCGCTGAAATAAAAAAAAAAACTTCATCAAATCAGCAAAATATGCCTGTCTTTAACCCTTGTAACATTAAGTGTAAATGAAATAAAATGTCATATGCCGGCACCCTGAACTCCAAGTAATATAGCTTTAAGCATATGACTTTAAAGTTGTGTGACATCACCAGGTAACGGTCGCTTTACTGAACACTTGGAAATATACTGCGTAATTATGTGGTCAGTAAACTGGCCTCTGGCCTTTAGGGTTGAAAAAGCTTCACTTCAACATTTCTCTCCATAACAAATAATTCATAATAAGGTAGGCCAATGTAAAAACTTACAGGAACAACCAACTTGGTGAGTGGCATTTAAAACTCTGAAACAGGCATTTTGGGTTTGAAGATCAATATAAATTTTTTCTTTCGTTCTCACAGCTTCTGAAATACAATTTCATGAGTCAGAATAAATCAAATAAGTTAGAAAGGAGATTGGAGGAAGAGTTGACAATGATTTTTTCTGTATAAAGTGAACCAGGAATGGAATCATATTTATTTCCTTCATTGTAAATTGAAAGTAGATCAAGAAAGACATTTTATGGTTTCAACAAAAAAATCTTATGATAATCTGATGATGATATGAAAGGCTTATCTAAAAGAGACATTATTCTTTAACAAATTCATACCCACCGACAGTACTTTTATGGGAAAATAGTACTAATAAAGCCGATAAAACGAAAAATTGTTGAAAACCGAAAATGTATTCGGCCATATTTGATGAGTAATAAACTTCCGAGTAAGGGTCGTAACTCATATTCGATTTAGGAAGATACAGACTATACATAAATTTGCTTCTTGAATAAAGAGCACTAATTCAAGAACACAAGGGATATTTATTTCTAATTTTTAGTTTAGATCGAATTCAGTCCGTTACCCGAAACTGATGACAGGCTTTTTTTTAGAACAACACTATGAGTAAACATATCAAACTTTAGGGACCGAGGCCGAGAGGCCTATATAATATTTAGTCATTTATTTTGAAATTTTCAAGCAATAATACACTGTAGAGTGAGGGAACAGTTTATATAGTCTCCTCTATAAAATAGTTATATAATATAATACATTCAAGCGGATTTAGTCTTGAGCATAAATATGGACATTAGTGTTTATCATAATCTATCAGTTTATTGATGTATGTTAGAAAAGATGGCATTGTTAGCACAATAAAGTTGGACAGGGAAATGTCATTTTATGCATTGTTTTAAGCAGTAACTTGATACTGATAATTGATTAGTGTTACAGCAGCAATCTGCATCATAACATTTGAAATAGAATGCAACTGAAGCAAGTAAAATCTGTGATAAGCAATAAATTGTTGAGAGTATTGGTGTTAAGAGTGAAGAAGTTCCTAAAAACTTCTATGTAAAGCACTGGCCAAGGTCACAAGTATTGGTGTGATCCAGGCCATAGTGTTAATGTGAGATGTGCACCTAGCTTGGTATTCTTGAACCTGGAAACAGTGTTAGAAGTGAAGACCCTAATCGTTCTGAAAAAACACAGCCAGGTATAATAATAATCTCTTTATTAGGGTAAGAAATGAGGCTGAAAAAACCTTTCTTGCTTTTTGCCACTACATGTCCATGGGTCATTTTTTTTATATTCAATAAATATACTAGTGAGGAAAAAGGGTACATATTGTACAAAGAACTTGATAAGATACTTTTGGCTTTAAATAAATGGTGCCTGTAAAGAAAATTCAAAATGCATGACTATATTTTAGGCTCCAAAAGACCAATCTTCGAAGCTCAAAGAATAAAGAACCAGTTTTTATTTCAAAAGTAGAATTTTTATTATGAACATGATCACAGAAGCCATTTTCTACAGAAATAAAACAAAGTAACAGATAAAGAAATAGACACTGAAATAAGTAAATGCTGTGAAATAAAATATTATACTTTTTGTATCATACTTTACTACAAATAAAATGCATATTTCTACAAATTTCTTATAACTTTATAAAAGGTTCTTTTACGTAGATTAATTGGTAGTGCAATTTGAGAAAATGCTTTTCTGTCATTTAGATTACTTTTTATTAGCCTAAGAACATGTCATAAAGAATATAATTTATTTAAAAAATAGAATTTCAAATGAAAGTGTACATGCATTGTGTGACACATAATAACATTCAAAAAGTTAAGCTTTTCAGTAAGAGAGTTAGCACTATACTAAGCAAAGGGACACAGTCCTGTAATTTATCATTTTGACCACTGATATATCTCTAGTTTAGATTCCCTTATCTTTTTGTCTTTTAAAATGCAAAAGGTTCTTTCCAAAACTGATTTAAGAAAGACAATAATTTTTTCAGCTACTCAAAATAATAATCACATGACTGTGCTCCTTTAAAAACTTCATATTTTGTTTTTTGGTTTTTTTTAGAACTTTTATTACAAAAAACATAACAATATAAAATATGAAAGAAAACATTTAATAGATACAGCAAAATATACAAATTTAAAACAATTTTGATTTTCATTTGAATAAGCATTATATAAATTGGGACTATTTAATAGAAGTTAGTATCTGGTTGCTATCAGACGAAGACCTGATTAACAAGACCACAAAAAAGTGAACACAATCAATGAAGCCACTGCAAGTGTACAAAATGAACAATATTATGCTTAAAATACGTTTTATTGGCATAAGTGAGTCTGAATAGAATTCATTCTTGAAATTGTGAGTGAATATGTTAATTTGCTTTTGAATTAATGAAAAGTTCAAGTTTAGAAATATAACTTGTATCTTGACAACTGATTAAACCAATGAATTATCCCAACAAACCAACATTAGAAGATCTCATTGGTCTAATATGTTAAACTCATGGATCTCACAATTTTCAAATTTAGAAAGATCAAAGTTTACTAAATAATAACAAAAAATAACTAGAATCACAGGTGGTACAGAGTGGGACTTTGCGAATGTTTGAAAAATTTTGAAAAAACAGAATATTACCGGGATGTGCCATGCCCACGTCAAATTTTTTGTACTCACTTTATAAATATTGATAATATCATATACATGCGTTATTTTTAAGCCTTTACATCTATTGGTTAATGCGATATACAATTATCAAGGTCAAAAACGGTCAAAATCTAAGATTGAAAATTTTGAAAATCGTAAAACCCGTTCCTTTTTTTGAACTAAAAAGCTGAAACATCTGAGATTTTTATATAATTCAGCTTAAGTAATGAGGTAAGCGTGTGCAAAAGCATTTTCCAAAAAATTGTAATCTATATATTTTTTTTCCAGACAACAAAATGTAAACAAAATGAAAATTTAACCTGGATGTGCCACGCCCACGTCAATTTTTTTTGGGTGGATGCATTTATATGGGGTATGTTTAATTATGTTCCAAGTTTGAAGCCTCTATATCTAATGGTTCGTGAGATATGCTTATATTAATGTAAAAAAATTCACAAAATCAGTTAAAGGTTTCCAAAAATTAAAAAATGTAAAAAAATTAAATTTTGCATTACAATCCATTGTGATATATCGTTCGAAAAAGTTTGTAAAGACCATTCAGAATCTGCAAAAATTAACTCTCTAGGTCAATTAGGTCACCTGTACGAGCAGTCCAAAGTTGCGATTTTGGCTGTTTTCGGACAGCTATAAAACCGGAAGTAGGTGTCGGAGGTCAAATATCAAAGTATCATCGGGTAGCCAAAGTCAATGACTTTTGACCTACTTAAGGTCAAGGTCATCAAAGGTCAAGGTCACGAGATATACGCCATCAAATATTGAAATAATTAAATTGCAAATTGCGAAAAAGCAAAATCGAAATTCAAAAATCGGCTTCCTGCGATCTCTCTTAATTTTTATGTTCTTTCATTTGACACCAAAACTTTGAAATTGGCTGAATAACAATCGAAGAGTTTCAGGGAAATCAAAATGGCAGCCAAAGTATCACTTCCGGTCTGGATTTTATATTCTTCATTTTTTTGTATTAGCATTTACTTACGACCTGCATAAATTCCGTTGACCTATTTCATTTACACCGGAAGTTATTCGACCGGAAGTAGATTGTACTTTCAATTGATTCCAACTTCAAAACCGGAAGTGACGTCAAAACTCTGACTGTATCATATCATTGACTTTATTGATGTCTCTTTGCATTTTAAATTTCAGATCAATCGATGCAAAAAACAAAAAATTTGCAAAAAAATTGCAAAATTCAATCGAAAAAAGTTTGCGACAAATTTTCAAATTTCGTAATTTTTCAAGTGCTATCTGATCAGAAAGAAAAGCCAGATTTTAAAAATGAAAACCCGAAGAAAATCGATGCAAAAATACGCCTTCTAGAGCTGATTTTCGACTTTTTGCACATGTTGAACTGTGGCACTTCCGGTTTTGCAAAAATGTTCCAATATATATTTAAGGAACACATTGCCACTACAGAAGGTCTAGAGAAGTTGAATGGTTGCTGCAACTACTGCAGTCTAAGCTCAGGAAGGTGTGTAAATTTCAAAAAAAAAAAAAAAAAAAAAAAAAAGAATGGACATTTCAATAAAAAACTGGGACTTTGCAGTAGCAAAGTCCCACAATTAAAGCAGCTATATAAGTAAATCATAACAAAATAAATTTTTGTATATTCAAAATTTACTAGATTTTGAATCTTCAATAATAAACTAAATATAAAATACATTCAAAAATTAATAATTTGTTTAAATAATGTTTTTCAAGAAAATTGTTAAATAATATATAGTTTATTGTAACTAGCTGTAATAAACAATGTGATAATAACAGTCATAACATGATGCAACAAATAGGTAATAATTGCTGTATAATTGCTGTATAGCATTTTCAAAGTCATTATCCTTGTGATCTTATGAAAGCAATATTATAATTATGAACATACAGGCAAAACATTTTAGATAAACATATGAGAATTAAAAAAGTCAGTGGAAATTTTAATAGGATTCAACTGACAGTATCCGTCCTTAAATGCAAAATATTGTGTAATCTTATTGCAACTATTATGGTTGAACAATAGAAGATATTTAATCAATTAAACAGTGTTCTATACTTATACCATGAGTTTTATTTTACATGACTATAATGATATGGAGCAGAAATACATGTATACAAAACACATCTATAGGAGAAAATAGTGATGATTTAAATAATAAAATATGTGATATGAATTATTAATTTCTCTAAACATTTAGGTGCTTTAATCTATTTACTATATTAGTATACAACTAAAACAGCTAAGATAAAACCAAAAATGTCATCTACCTCTTTCAATGTGGAGTTGTTCTACACTATTTATGTATGTTCTAAAGTCATTACATTTGGTATATTTGCAAAATACAAATGAAAAATAATATAATGAATTGTGGCTTTAATATATGGCACTAAACAATGCTAGATAAAAATATAAATAAAACATATATTTGACTGACAATGTTCTTTTGATCTTACTAATCGTAACTTACTAACATTGATACACTAAAAGAACTAATCTATCGTCTTTGCTGTCTCTTTCATAAGCCCTAAAAACACTAAGCACTACGTTGTCAAGTTCAGTGTTGTCATCAATATAGTGAAGGAAAACGAAGGGACTAACTTTGATCAAAATTATAAATCATAAGCACTATACAACAAAATGTCATGTTTTGATGACAAATTTTTTCCAAGATGTAACTCTTTAAAATATGAGATCATATTAAAATTGATTGAATCAGATAGTCTGATAGTGTTGACAAGTAATGTATGTATGACATCTCTCAGATACTGATAGAGTTTGGGACTATCTCTGGATCCAGGTAAATATATGGTGGGTTTCTATCTTCATTTCTTTCTTTAATTGTTTTACTAATTTGTCGTAAATCTAATCGGAATCTGAAAAAGGTGACAAAACAATTGTCATAATGAAAGAAATGATGGTTTGAATTGAGTTTTATCTTTATCAAGCCATCCATTACAAACCAAGACAATTTTTTCTCGAGATTTATACATGAATAGTTATAACATAAAGGACTGAGGTTGTTATCAGATTCATTATGATTTACATAAATTTCTGTTTTGAAGTTTGTCCGTTTCATATCCTTACCAATTTTCATTGCCTACTATTCTTTGAATAAATTTGACATTTTTCCTCACAATTAACTCAAAATTTATTTGATATTCTTATTTGATGTATTCTAAAATTTCTACAGTACAAGATAAATTTCCTCCTCCTCATTTGGAATAAATGACGGTTTACTTACTCATCAACAAGATCTCTGGCTCTGGGATCGAAAACATACTGAACTTCAAAATCACCCAGACTCTTGGTTCCTTTACCACTCAATATTTTGGTGACCACCATGATGTCTAAAGTAGTTGGTTTATCAGGTAAAGATTCTAAAATCAATCTTTCCTCCACTGCATCCTACAATGTCACATCAAATATTAAACTGACAAAATATAACATGATAAGAGCAAACACAATGCAGCAATCAACTCACTACCTAGGGGGACAGCAAGTTGGGTTGTCATCTAAGAGGTAATTAGGTGCAGTGGGGTTCAAGTCTCAATCAAGGTTGGAAAAATGTCAACACTTGTCAGTGCTTCAAAGGACAGTCGCGGTTGGATTTGACTATCAGCAGAGTGCATGTCATTTCTTGTTAAGCACAGATTATTCCACAGGTTTGATCAGGATATCTACTTTCTGTGATACAAAAACCTTGCTTACCTTTGATTTAGGGGGAGCACCTCTCATTAAACCAGGGTAGTTTGGTGGGAAAGCATATTCTTCATATTGAGGGAAGTTGGTAGAGGCATGAGATACACTACAAGTATAGACTATACACTGTAATACTTGCACTATTTCTTCTTTAGTTTTACAACTTCCATCATTAGGTATACCCTACAAATTAATACATAAAGATTCTAAATAATAATATATTGGCATCTCTGGATGATTCAATAAAAAACACAGTTATTTGAACAATTACAGAAATGCTGCTCTGACTTCTGAGTCAGTGCACCACTTTGGAAGATGATTCAAATTAGAAATGGTATGCCATTTCACATAATAATCATGAAACATCATTGCCAAGTCACCCTGCAAGATACATAGTTGAAATCTATACATCTTACAATCATAATAAATGTACATAAACCTAAATATTATTATTAACTATGTGGATCCGAATAGTACTTATTGCAGTAAAGTAAAAAACACACAGATGAAGATCTTACAGAATAACAATGACAGTTACTTACATGTAGACCTACACCACCCTTTTCTCTATCTAATGCTAGTTCTTTTACCCAACTCTGTAACTCCCAATCACCAGTGATCTTGTCTTCTGTATCTATAACAGATAAATTATCACATGTATATTCAGGCTGATTGGAATATTGTTTTGTTTCATCCTGTTTCTCATATAAAGGGATGTTGGCTGTATTTAGACAAGAATTTAAGGAGAACTCCCCCATTGAACATCTGACGCTATATATACCTCTTTCATTATTCTACCTTTAGCTTATTTTTAATTTCAAGCATAATAACTGTAAGAAATTTAAAAATCTGTCTGAGAGATTTTGGCATTTATTGGCTAAACCTTTTTGCTATAAGAAAGATTTTCAACTTTCTTCAATCATTGCAATTTGCACATTTGGAAATCGAATAACGATCATGGCTTACCATAGTATAAATCTACATATTTGGAAGTATATTGTTGAATTGCATTGTAAAGTAAGAGCGCATCATCTCGAAAATGGTAACCAGGCAACACTGTCTTATCATCCAGCTGCAAAAAAATGTAGGATTCGTAAACTTTAGAAAAATTGCTATAAACTGCCAATAATGGAATAGTATGGTATATAAAATTGTTGACTGATTATTATTGTGTCCGTTTCAAGAACAAGTCTGATAAATTTAATTCAACAAATCACACTTTTAAGATTTGATCTATTGATCCCCTCCCTAACATCTGATAATTGATCAAATTAAACTTGGTAACAAGATAAATCTGAATATAACATGATAACCTACGCCTCGTCTCTTGAGATCTGCTGGAAGTGTACCATCGATATCTAGCCTCCATCTATCAATACTATAAAATACAATTAGAATTTTCACATAACTATACAAACAAGTATTGGAAGTTATACAGACCAAACCTATTGTTCAGCAATCTGGATTATTTCTGATTTTTGACATAAAAGATAGCAACCAAACAGAAATCATAGGGTGAAATGTCACTGGAGTCAAGTGAATCTTTTATCAACAGCAGTATAAACTGTGCCAAAATCTGATCATTACTGCTTTCCTTTGGTACAATCTTAATGTTGTTTTAATATTGAATATATGATTTTACCCTTTAGCTATTAACTGGAACATTCCTTTGATTCCACTATTCATAGATTTATCTACCCAACCTCCTTCTGATACCAACAACTCTAAACCACGTCTGAAAGACAAGAAAACACTAAGTGACAACAACTTTACCATGGAACTAAATGACATAATAAAAGTACATTCCAAAATATCATAATTCAGCAGAGATGTTTCTACTCATCCAATTTATACCTGGGCCAATTTTATAGTTTGGAATAGAACCACTTGTTTCAATGAAGAATATATGTATATAAGTGGGGCAATTTAACTCTTCCAGCCTTAAAGCTCACTCAATGCTCTGATTCAAGGAATAATTCCAAATAGAAATTGAATCTGATATAATGTGATAATTTGAAAATCTACTGGGAAGATCACATGATTGTTTAAAGAAATATCATGCTTCGGTGTAAAACTGTTAAAACCATTCTGATCATACAAAATATACTTACGTATTTATGGCAATTAAATATAGAAAATGTGGAGCTAAAAATTTGAAAACAGGATGTGATTGTGAGAGATTTCTGTGTGTTGCTACGGTAACACCTTCCATTAAAAGATGTGTGAAACCTGAAAATTAAAAGCCAGGGAAATTACTCAGAGATAGTGCAACAACATATTTATGTTTTAAATTAAATGTTTAGCCTCAGCAGCTAATTTTGCATTTCATAGTAAATAGTATTCAACACACACAATCTATAATTCATGCTAAAATATAGGTTTATAATTGTGAAATATGATGATTTTACTAAATCAGAGCATTAAAGGAAATTCAAGAAAAACCTTTCAATCTATGTAAATGTAACTGCACTCTTAAGCAATTATATGTCTAGTTGTAGAATTTGAACTCTCATTAACATTATAACCTTAATGAAGGAAGTTGTCCAAGTCGAAGAAGAGTTACATACCGAGATGTGTCAATGATTGATGGTAAGCAGCATCAGCATTGTTGTACCACATTTTAGCTAAAACCCATGTATTAGGATGGTCTGTGGGTAAAAATACCTGCAAGCACAGAAAATTAAAAATTATATTTTACTCAAAGCATAGTAGAATTTGGATTTGGTGATGCAATCATGGCTAATTGCCATAAAGATAAAAATCAAAAACATCACTGGCTAATACAGCCATATTGCCTTGCTCAATAGCCAGGCATTCATTACAGAACTTGATATTTTCTTATGTATGACAAACAGCAATGACAAACAGCAAATATTTTAGGGAATTCCCAAAATACTGGATAAAAAGAAAGTAAGAAAAAAGACAAATCAGTTGGAATTCCAGGAATTTATTATTTATGGTAGGAAAAACCATTTTCTGATGAAATATACACGAAATATTCTACAATTGTATTACAGGCCACATTAGGACTATTTCACAAATAGCGGAAATCTATAGGAATTTCAGGAATAAATATTTATGATAGGAAAAACCATTTTCTGATGAAAAATACAATAACACATAAGTGCTATTATCGGAATATTTGTAAGGGAAGTGGAATTTTACTTATATATAATTCCTATCAATTCAATAAATTAGTGAAGTAAAAAAAAAAAACATGTCCAAGACTGAGCTGATGTAAGGTCAATCGTGATTAATAAATGTTTCATTCTGAAGTAAATAATTTATCATTAATCAGAAAGTCTTTACAATTTTCTATCAGTTTAGAAAGTGCCAGGGGTCAATAGAACAATGGCTATAGAACAGTTTTCATACTAGTGCTTTCATGGATAAAAACCATTCAAAGAAAAAATAGCTCCAACTTGATTATGATTTCAATATAAGAATAACCATTGAATGGTGTTATAATAAGTTAATAATTAAATCAATATAAAAGATGAAAGATTAATTAAATCCTGATTAGGATGAGTAAATAAAATTCAGGTCTCTACGGGTCAAACTGAATCAATAATCCAATAACTTTCATTATCTCTTTTTATTAATTAATCACTTATGCCACCTTGTCTTATAGTGCTTGGCGTTATCACAGAGGAAGAATTAGCATTTGGACAAATTTCATACACATTATGTTTGAGTGCAATTTGCAGAGGCAGTTGGCTAGAAATTCTGAAATATCTGAGTAAATGAATTAAAGAAATCAAACTATTTCGCCATAATTTTCATTGATCAGCAAAATATATGATTTGACATTGATTTGCCAATAATAAGGCTATAAATGAAAGAATAAGGTTTGTATGGCTGCCTACACATAAGAACCAATTGACTTTTTTTCCAGCCACAAATACTAAATCAGATAAAACTAATCTGATAAAGTTGCTTCACTTCTAGTTAAATTATCTCTCAGATGATAATTTCATTATGTTACTTCACCATCCCTTAATTCCAACAAACAACTCAGAAAGTTGTTTTATTAATTAGAGAGAATTCAAAATTCCTAGCCTTTGTATGTGTTAGATACACTAACATGTGTAATTATTGAAAATCCAGAAAAAACTGCCCAAATTGTATTGTTACTATCACAATGCCAAGTGGAAAATCAGAATGGTGCAAAGGGGAGCTAAAGGTGTCTTCAGATGTATAAACAAGGTTAAAAAAAAAACATTTTGAATGTTTTTTTATCTGTTGAAGTAAACTGACATCAGGCTTTGTGAGATTGATAGATTTTGACAGATTGGATGCATTCTGAACTGAATAACTTTATCATCTATAACTACGCAATTTCCTTCATCATCTTCGACTATATTGATGAAGTCAAATTTCAAAGTGATTAACATCAAATCTTGAAACTTAGAAATACCCTGTCAGAATTCATCATTTGAATATTCAACGTAAAATGGATGTAACCTTCATTAACAAACCAAGCACTTTATTTTCTGACTTATATCTGAATAGAATTCAACGTTACTCAGTGCATTACTCATTTGATCAAATCCAGTTGAATTATTCCTTACCATAATTCAATGAATCAGGAATTCAGAAATTAGACAAGATAAGCTCTTGTTAATTATAATCAGTTTATGATTGATTTCTTCTTCTGATGCGTAGCATTCATAGACCGAAGATGAGTAAATATTATTACTCATATTCTGAGAAAATGTTTAAAATTGATTTATGTTCAACAGTAATCCTCCAATCAAATTAATATGTTCAATCATTCTGATTTCCTAATCTTAATTCTTTGACTAAGATCTTAGTAAGCAAATAGTCATGGTCATCATTAAGTGATTTTCCTTGGGATGCACCCAATGGCCAAACTTAGGAGGAGTTGGAATGTTTGATGCACTATTTTCATGTAAAGGATATAAACATGCTGATCTTGAGTGATGTCAAAGATTAAGCAGACGCCCTCACCACCAAGTGTGACACCATACGATTTTATGATACACTAAACATCTTATACTGATGATGCTTCTCTATGAATAATCTGTCTTTGATTTTATGTATTAAACAAAGCTCTGGATTTAAGAGTACTGAAGCGATGTTGACAGTACTCTGACATACACTAAACCATTATGTGATAACACAAGAATCATAAAGCAATTTATTGAAACCTCCTATATATCTGGCATATAACTTTATTAACATTCCTTAAGTAAGTACCACCAAAAGAATATGCAAGGGATTCAACACATAATCTAGTTAAGAAATGAAATGAAATGAATGGAGTTTTACATCCTACTTTTCTGCACCTTGTGGGCTAATGAAGACGGGTAATCTAGTGAAGAGTCATTCGCATTATTCAACTGTAGTACTTTGTGTGTTAGAAGTAATTTTTATCTAAAACCATTTAATTTTTTTTGAGAATGGAAAAGTTTGTCCATCAGAAGTCTAGGTGTTTAACTGAACTTTCATTTGGTTAAATTAAAAAGTCTACTTTAAGCCAACTATTTTACAAGCAGGAGTATTCCGTGGATGTATGACTGTACTTACTGGGTTATCTGGTGCAGGTTCTTGGTATAACTGTAAAGCTATTGGTAATAATTGTTTATTATTGTTTACCATAAATAATCCAATCGGACTGCATAACTACAAGATTTAAATGACATTTATTAATTTTTATATAAGATCATAAAAAAATGCCTGAAATAGACAGTGAGATAGAAGAAGAGAGTTGGATTGACAACTTCTTGACACTGCTTGATACAATTAAATCTTCTCTCATTTCTGATCCCATGGTTGGTATTTTAAAGAGCTACTCAAACCAAATAACATAAGATATAAAGAGGAGTCTCTTAAGCCAATTTAAAGTTATTGGAAATAATGTTTTTCTCCACCAAATATAAAAGTGTCTTACTGTAAAACCGGGTCTAGAAGCTATGCCGTGTAAAATTTCAAAATCACAGATAAAAAGACGTTTTTGTTTGATTAAAGATGCAATGGTATTTCCTTCTAATAATGGTTTGAGCATTTCTTCTGTTACTGCTAATCTGAAACAATCCAACATTAAATTTCATTATCAACAATTATGATGAAATTAAAAACTCAATCCATGTAATCATAGTGGTAAGATATTTATAAAAACATTTATATCATATTTTCCTATGCCTATTTTCATTATATTTGTCACGTTTCAAATGAATCTATAACTATGTTGTTAATTTTTTCTTCCTGTCAATCAAATAATTATGATCATAGACACATTGCCATTTAATAAATTTTCAGAGCTGTTTTGTAAATTTACAACAGTGCCAATCAAATTAACAAGATGATTTACATATGGTTAGTTTCGAATTTCAGAAAACGTCATAAAATAGAAATCATTGAGTGTTTTCAACAATTATTTTGTTAAGTTAAGATGCTGTAATTCAGTTTCAGGGTTTGAAGGACCAATGTTGACATAAGTTTCATTTTCCCCTTGCTTCTCTTTCAGACGTTCAATGCATCACATTAGAATTCTAACAATGGATGTAGAATATACATACTTGTCTGGAATGGCTGTACAAAGTTTAATTAGTGAATGATTAAGACTGGCAATTCTCTGTAAACCAAAGTTAAGATCATTACTCCACCGGTCGGCACCCTGAAATATAATAAGACTATCATAGACAATACAGGAATATGTTTATATGTCTAACTCTAAAGCTTCTGATCATACCCTGAAAACCTCAAATTATATACTAAACAAGGAACAATAATTTAAAAAACTAATGAAACGGTTTGGCTGTTGTGGCATGATCATACATGATCTTTGCTACTGGGTTATCAACTTGGTGATCTTTTAAAGACAAGCGCACATGGGATTATGTCGGGCTCAAAACAACTGATTTGTAAGCTTGAAAACTTGAACAACATACTATCTTGCTGCAACCAGGTGTCCCTTTTAATAAACACATATAGTTAATTATTTCCTTTTGGTATTTTCATTAAATTGTTAGATAAAGCAGACAATGTAATATTTACTGCTTTCAATAGCTTACCTTTGGCAAATGGAATACATTTTGTGTATAAATATTTTTAAGATGAGCCAAACTTTCCCACTGTCCTGCCGTTAACTTAACTAATCTACTGGTAGCTAATAGTTGAGCTTTAGTTGTCACAATATCCCACTGGAAACATAAATAATGTAGAAAATATTCAAATTCTTATATTATGGTGTTGCATTTTTATTGCCCAGTCAAACAAAAGCAAAAAAAAAGTGTTTTAATGGAGTTTTTTGGTTACATATATATATATTAGTCTGATTTTATAAATGTCATACTCTTCCAAATATTTACAATAATAATAATGCATGCTGAATTTTAAAGAAGTTTTAAACACTAGGACTGTGCCTTATGAAACTATAGTATAGTGTTTATTATTCTTTGAATGAGTTACTCACTCAATATAAACACTCAGTATCTGAAGTTGTATTTTAATTATAATGAATTCTGTATTTAACATCAATCTATTTATATACATAACTTACCTTGTATTCAAATGAAAATTGTTCATCTGGTGGCATCTTGCTTATCTAAAATATATAAGATTTAAATCATTTAATTTCTTACTTATATTTTACATCATTTTCTAACCAACAAACAATTGACAGAAAAATGACAGCCATGAGAAGAGTAGATTTATTTACAATAGAATTTTTACATATGCATTGCAATAGCCCAAATTCATCACTAAATCATTGCAACACAAAAACAGTGAACCAACTCTCAAATCAAGATCTGCCCATTTAAAGATGGTCTGAATATTGACACAGGAAATCATGTTATTATCTAGTCATGGCCTACTTTAATATCTTAACTCTAAATTAAATATAGTCTGCCCTCAACTTAATATACACACATATCCATTCATATACTTATTCAAATAAAACATGTGGTTAATTGAAATTTATACAAGGGAGGTGTCAATCATGATTTTAATATTAGACATAGGGGATGGTCACAGTTTGACAGATTTGTGTACATTCACTAAAGTGGACTTAACATATTACAAAATCATCAATTTTTTTTTTATAAAAATTACAGACTTTGGACTCAAAACTACAATAGCTCAACTGCAATCCATAAAGGGGAAAATCGTGACAACCTTTTTCAAAAACATCCTTACCCATGAAAATATTTCTTTGCATTTAATGCAAAAAAAAATGTCTGCAGTTCATTTTAATCTGTCTTTATATAACCAGCATTCATTTAACTAAACATGAGTAATTTCATTCAGGATATTAACAAATTTTGGAAATTACCACAGAGACCTGAGCTGTTATAAGATATATGACCTTGAATATATTGACCTCCATGTATATGTTGCAGGAAGCAAATATGAATATAGGAAGCATGACATAATTTTGTAGTTACCAAGAAGTCACATATTATTTCATTTTGCACATTGGCAGCCTGGAATAAGGTTCCTTATCAGTGACTCCATAAAAAAAATGTGTAAGAAAAAATATGCAGTATGAAACAATTTTCACAGACCAATCGTGGATAACTTGATGACACTCTGCCAGTTTGTCAAGCTACAAAACCCTTTATAGAGTATTAGTGAAACTAATGTGATCCTTAAAACATATATATTATAATATCTATCTATTAATGTTAGGTTTTCATTTTAATTCTGTTCAGATTTAGGATATGTGGTAGGTAGTGGGTGGGAGGGTTTTTGTGGCTTAGTGGTATTTATGATGATTAACCACAATAACTATGTTTGATTGAGTAGGGTGGGGTGGGGGTTGGAGGGGTGTGTTGCTATATACAGTATAAACATGTTTGGTATGCTAAAGAATAGATGATATATTATAAGAATAGGAATATATTTCTCTATGACTTCAGTCATTCTCTCCTATTGTTATCAGCATGTTTTACTAATAAACTATATCTCTACTGTTTACATGTAAAGAACATACGGGGCCAGACCCTGTCTCAGTATTTTCCTGAGATTACATCAAAAGAAACACAGAGCACAATCTTCTGTTGTACGTCACTCATAGCATTATAAAAACTTGTATGACAAGTCAAAATAATCCGAAGACATTAATAGATGACCGATTTTGGGAAAGGATAGTTTCACCAATCAAATGAAAATTTTAATCTCTATACAAAATGATTCTAACAAACTTTCACTACAGGACAAATCCTTTGAAAAAGAAATATGGTATCAATAAAGGCTACATATACAACAGCATTTAACAGATAATTTGAGAGCTTGAATCATAATTAAAATATGTTGTCATTGGTCAAATAAGATCACAACTCAGGAGCAGACTCTCAAACGTTTCAAATTGAAGTACTGCTGTACTGCATTCACAGGTTAAATTTTAACATTTTGCAAATCTTTCAAATGCACAGGTTACTTGGTAGGTGAAATTGCCAACAACAGTTCAAACAATTTACAACAAGAATTAAATGTTGTAACGGGTCAAAAGATAACAGAATTTAAAATGACTTACGAGCAGTCAATCAAAAATTTCTAATTAAATATTTTATGTGGGAGTAATAAGGGGGGCGTGAAAAAAACTTATGAATGGGATTCAAGTATTTGAAATATTAAAAAAAATATCTTTTCAATTTCCGGTGGCCTCTAGCCATTAATATAAATCATCCATTAGATCTTTTAGATATTTTATCCACATCCTAGAGCTAAAAATATCTAAATTTAATCCTGACCTAAAAGATGAAGTTGACACTTATTGCCCTATCTAGCTATATCTTTACATCTGTTTATCTATTTATATTTTCTAATTAAATCATATATGCATGTATGAATATGATGTTATCCCTAAAACCCATCAATATCCATCCAAACCACTCATTATGCAAAATATAATTGTATTATAAGGTGTGATATCTGTTAAGTGGCTCACTAGTGTTTATGGCATAAAGCATAGGGTGATACATTTGAATTTTTCACACAGTTTCCATATCAACAATGCAAGTCTGAGGGTCTATGAAAAAAATATCATATCAGCTAGAGCTGTGTAAAATTTGAGTTCAAATTTGAGGAACTACTGGAATTATTTAGGAACTTATTCTAAATATGTCAATATACATATCATATAATATATCAATATATTATGGTACTTGCATAGTGTTATCATATCATTGAAATATATACAATTGTAAATCATGACTATAAATGGTGGAAATGCTTGGCATATTTGCTATTTTATCTGGATGTCTGACTCATTCTCATTATTTCCAAATGTTTTCAGATCCAAGGTAAGTGTGTCTTCATTTGACAAAAGAAAGGAATTCCAGTTTAAGTTTGATGGAAAATTTGATATAGAAGATATAGCAACGAAAGTAACAAACTTTGATGGTGTTTATTTTACATTATTTTCTGTGTTAGATAAATGACAAAAAAGACCTACATGCGAAAGATTTGAATGCTTCATGAAAATTTGAGATCTAATGGAATATTTTCAGTAGTTTTGTACAGTTTACCATGTCTGTATATATACAATGCCTATTCACAGCTTGAAAAATCATTGATCAAAAACCAGAGATAGAGGAGTTGCCTACAGCTATGGTATCATAATATATCAACTCAAGACTGTTTTGAACCACCATATCATTGAGTTGAACATCTCAAAATATCTCACAAACCACTCAAAAAACTCATAAAAACTGTCAACATGAAATATTTAGTACATTAAGGTATGTTAAACATGGGATAAGAGTAAACAAACTTAATCATTGATTTTTTTCCAAAATATCCTTTGCTCAATGCTGATATCGTCAGGAAATCTAATTTATATGACTGTACCAAATCCAGTATAACCAAACTATTACTTAGTGACGATTCCACATGATCACTTTCACGTACACTTGTGGTAGCTTTCACAATTGTCTGATACATAAATAGGCCTTTAATCTTACCATATCTTACACTACCAAGATAAATTTTGATACCATCTTTCTGCAACAGACCCATTTTTACTATTTACATTGAGGGGAAATCTTCAATTATCTTTACATCCTATATTATATTTTACTATAATCTATGTTTATATAATAAAATACTAGTACATCAATTACAGTTGAGACTATAATTAAATAGTGCTTTTATGTCAAAATAACCTAACCTTGAAAGCAAAAACAATAAATAGCCCCTGAAATCCAAACCTTGTGGATAATCGGATGAGAGGACAGGCTTAATAGATGACAAGATCTGTGTTAGATTCATGCATATTGCTTAATAATTAAGACCACTGTATTGGAGAACTCGAAAGCTAAAGTAACTTCCTACATTCAGAAGGCTTAAGTTGATTGCAACAGTAAGATTCTGTAATACAACTGTGAAAAACTGAGTCAAAGAGAAGATAGATGGCTGTTTCATAATCAATGATCATAATTTTGATAAACAATAAACCACCTTTCCAAGCCTAAAAGTGGCCTCACCAGACAAATGTGAACAACAAAATTGGACTTTATGACAGAATTAATTTAACATCGTGCATCCTCAAGATCAAAAACAATTACAACAAACAATTAAATTGTATCTTACAGTGCCTGATATTATCACCTTGACTAATAAGATCAGTCTTAGATAAATATCATAAGTGTTAACTCAAATATGATAATATCTATATAGACAAACTAATTAGCTTAACGAAGTAAAAAAATTAATTATTAACATCTATCACTAATTAACATAATATTCCAACATACCCCGTCTACTCGTCAATTGTCACCAGGGAATTCTCTATGTCATGTCATTCCCACACAACAATAGAACATATTCAATAATTTATTTAGGTATAAGGGAAGTGTCTCCCCATAGAGCCAAAATGAGCATTGTGTTGAGCATTGTGTCTATCAAACATGGACAAATATCATCCTTGAAAAGGTTAACATTTGATGTCCATTATGAAGTAGTCAAAAGTATTAGCTAAGTGATGAAACATCAATGCTAAGAGATTTGACCAAGGAACAGTTGGTAGATTGATTCCACAAGTACCTAAGATAAAGGCTGTTTAAAACATATACATTTCTTACACACTCTGCTCCTAGGTTTAATCATCCTCTGTTGTGGACATACCTGTATGAACCGTTTGGACCCAATGAATGGAATCAACAGATATTCTGTAGATCTTAGGTCTGTGTAAAGTTCTTAAGGATGGGGTAGGGGAACATGTGGTCAAGTATTATATAGTATGCAGATTTAAACTCCTTGGTTAAAGTAAGATATCAAGATAAAGTATAAATAGTATTTACTAGGTAAACTTCAAAACCAGATAACATTACTACTATACATTTTTACTATGTGGGAACATCTCACAATATCTTTTAATAGCAAAAACTAAATAGAAACTAACATATACATTTACATAAATACTGAAAGTATATTTAAAGGAAACTTAAAAATATTTTCTAAATGGGATGATAAAAAATTTACTACGCTAATTAAAGTAATGGAGTCAGAAGCTATCAAATTTCTGTTTTGGTAAATCCTGTACCATCCCTAAAGGACAACAGATTTCCAAAAATTCCAAAAACCAGTCATGATTGTCAAACA